TAAGTGAAGCCAAGAAGCAAACCATCGATTAGATAAAAAAGCAAAACAAAACACCCAATCAGAACAGCAAAAAGAAAAAAAGAATCCAAGAAAATGAGGATAGTATAAGGAGCCTGTGGGACAACTTCAAGTGTACCAACATTTGCATCATGGGAGTGCCAGAAGGAAAAGAGAGAGAACAAGAAATTGAAAGCCTATTTGAAAAAATAATGACAGAAAACCTTCCTAACTTGGTGAAGGAAACAGACACACATGTTCAGAAAGAACAGAGTCCCAAACAAGATGAACCCAAAAAGGTCCACACCAAGACACATCATCACCAAAATGCAAAAGGTTAAAGACAAAGAGAGAATCTTAAAAGCAGCAAGAGAAAAGCAGTTAGTTACCTACAACAGAGTTCCCATAAGGCTGGCAGCCGATTTCTTAAAAAAACTTTGCAGGCCAAAAGGCAGTGGCAAGAAATATTTAAAAATATGAAAAGCAAGGACTTACAACCAAGATTACCCTATCCTGCAAAGCTGTCGTTTAGAATCAATGGCCATATAAAGAGTTTCCCAGACAACAAAAAGCTAAAGGAGTTCATCACCACCAAACCAGTATTATATGAAATGATGATGAGTCTTCTTGAAGAAGAAAAAGATAAAAAAATATGAACAATAAAATGGCAGTGAATACATATTTATCAACAATCGAATCTACAAACAGAATGAGCAAGCAGAACAGAAACAGACTCATAGATAAAGAGAACTTTTTGTTGGTTGCCAGATGGGAGGGGGATTGGGTGAAAAAAATGAAGGGATTAAGAAGTACAAATTGGTTGTTAGGTTGATGAACCTTAAAGGGAAGTGGGGAGGTGAGGCGGGAAGAGAGAAACCAAAGAACTTCTACGCATATATGCATGACCCACGGACACAGACAATAGTGTGAGGAAGGCAGGAGGGGGTGGGAGTAGAGAGGAGGGGGTTAAGGGGTGGGGAAGGAGGGACATTTGTAATACATTCAACAATAAAGATAAGTTTAAAAAGAAGCCCTGGCCGGTTTGGCTCAGCGGTTAGAGCATCCACCTGCGGTCCAGAGAGACCCGGATTCGGTTCCCACTAAGGGCATGTACCTCGGTTGCAGTTTGTCCCCGGCCCTGGTTGGTCATGCGGGTGGCAGCCACTCGATGTGTCCCTCTCACATCGATGTTTCCCTCTCTCTCTCTCTTCCTCTCTCTCCCTCCCACTCTATCTGTGCAAAATATGGAGAAATGTCCTCGGGTGAGGATTAAAAAAATAAAATAAAATAAAAAATAAATAAATAAAAAGAAAAAAATCTTTTTATTTTGAGATAATTGTAGGTACACATGCAGCTGTACAAAATAATATGGAGCCTGGTTGGTGTGGCTCAGTGGACTGAGCGTCATCCCATGGACTGAGAGGTCCCCGTTAGATTCCTGGTCAGGGCACATGCTGGGGTTGCAGGCTGGATCCCCAGTAGGGGGCATGCAGGAGGCAGCAAACTGATGTATCTCATCTCCCTCTCCCTTCCTCTCTCTCTAAAAAATCAATAAAAACATTTATTTTTAAAAAGAAAGAAAGAATATGGAGAGATCTCATTTACTCTTCACCCAGTTTTCCCCAATGGTAATATCTTGCATAACTATAATAATCATCCAGAAATTTGACAATATACAATCCATAAGAAAGGCGTAACTATGAAGGAAGAGCATTCTTGATGATTCTCTTCAGAGTCCCACATGGTGCGTGCGTGCGTGTGCGCGCGCTTGCGTGTGTGCATGCATGCGTGTGTGTGCTCGCATGCGTGCGTGCATGCATGTGTGGCCTCTTGGCATTTTGCAACACCTCGCCACCTGGCAGTGAGCCCTAAAATGGTCCCCAGATGAGTTTGAGCTCTCATAATTTCTTGGAACCTTTTTTGTAAAATGAGAATGACTGGAATGTCTACTTCAGAGGATGTGAGGATTAAATAAAACGATAGGAGTAAAGCTTTTGGAATTGTGGCTGGCCATCATACACACTTAATAAATGTTAGCTGTTGTGATTATTGTGAAGCCAGTTCCATTCGTGTTATGCAAGTCGACCTTTCATATATTATAAGAATAGGGCTACAGTTACATCGGAGTCAGAATAAAGAGGGAAAAGGCAAAGCATAACATCTTAATCATCTAACTTATCTAACAAAATGAGGCTAGAAAGATGCAGATAAGAAAATCTCAGGTGTACAAAAGGTGCTATCATAACACTCTAAGCCTTAGAGTCTAAGGGAACAAAAGGGTGATGAGCACAGACAAAAGCCTGGGACAGAACCGGGGCACCTACTTCAGGGGATCATACAGGATAACTCGCTCTCCCTGTTTTCAAGTGGAGGAGAGCAGAATGTGCTACTTTGGCATATTGGTTATTTTGTTATTATTTTTAATCCTCACAGGAGGATATTTTTCCATTGCTCTTTTTTAGAGTGGGGGTGGGGGGAGAGAGAAACATCGACATGGGGTAGACACATCCCCCCGTACAACCCCAACTAGGGCAGGGATGAAACCCGCAACTGCGGTACATACCTTTGACTGGGACTCAAACCCAAGACTCTTTGGTCTGCAGGCTGATGCTCTAACCGCTGAGCCAAACCGGCCAGGGCAGCATATTGATTATTTTGAATTAAAGTTACTTAAGAAACAGCCAATGCAAGGATGCTGTGACCCTCCTTTGTGCCCTGAAAGCAGGAATAAACCTGCCATCTGCAGGTACCCTCCCTGGGCCAAGAGGATCAAAGCATTCTTAGCACCAGAGAAAGGGAATTGAGGTTGAGAAGGCCGCGTAGGCAAACTTGATTATTTCCTCACTAATTTGCTACCTCAAGCCTCAAACTCTTTGTTTTGCCAGTTCTTCGCAAATTTATTGTTTCCTTGTCTAAAAGGCATAAAAGCTGCCTCCTTTGGTCATTTCGAGGAGTTTTCGTATTTTTATGGGCTCCTGTACATACAAAATTAAATGTTTTTTTCTCTTGGTGATCTTAGTCAACTTAGTTATGAGACCAGCCAAACAACCTAGAAGGGGAGAAGGGACAAGTTTTCTGTCCCTACACGAACATGCAGTTTGTATTTATTATGTAGGAAAGACCCACAAAGTCCAGGCAAGAAGTGACTGACAGTTCCATAAAGGAATCAATTTTAATGTTATGAGCATTAACTCATCTAATTTTTATATTGTAATCTTGTCTTGCCTTCGATGTATGTTTAATGCTACAACACACTTATTTTATAGCTGAGGAAACTGAGGCTCAGATAAGTTAAATCCCTCACTTACCCAAGATCACATAGGCATTGATGGTCAAGGTCAGGACCCGAACCGAGCTCTGGCCTACTTTGAATCCTACATTCTTTCTCAATACCAAGAAACCAAGCTTATTGCTAGCTTTCTTCCGTGACTTCATTATTTTTGCTAACCATCAACAGCATGAATCATTTACTCATGATTGCCCTCATTAAGGCCATTTTTCTCATTCATTTAGATGAAGATGGTAATGTTTTCTGTATGAGCAAGAAGAGAAAGTTTAACGTTTTTGGTCCTAATTGAGATGATAAGATTGAGAAACATTAAGCCCTGCTTAAAACACAGAGCAATCAATTTGTGGAGCTGTTTCAAACTATCAGTAAAGAAATAGATTTTTTTTCCTCCTTTTCATTACTTATATTCAACCTTCATTTGGCTTTAGCACTGTCAGGCCTGACAAAAACTAGTAATTTACGCCATAATGTCTATAGAAATGTGCTGTGCAACCGGTAGCCACTAGCCAGACGTGTTTATTGATCACTTTAAATGTGCCGAATCACAACTGATAGGCAGAAAGCATAAAACACACATGATTGGATTTTGATTAGCATGGAAAAAGAAAATAGCTAATTTTTATATTAATTACATGTTGAAATGTGCCGAATTACACTTAAAATGTGCCGAATCACAACTGATATGCAGGAAGCAAAAAATACACATTGGATTTTGATTAGCATAAAAAAAAAAGAAACTAGCTCATTTTTATATTAATTACATGTTGAAATGATACCACTTTGGATATCCTGGGTCAGAGCCCAAATGCATTAAAATTCACTTCACCTGTGTCTTTCTCGCACGGCGGCTGCTAGAACACGTGTAATTACAGTGGTTGCATTTGGGACTCGCACTACGTTTACTGCACAGCCCCGGCAGGAGAGGAGAAAGACGGGAGTTCCGTCGACAGGTTGTGCGTTTCCGAGAGATTTCAGGAGGAAAGAGACGGAGCGCGGCCGCAGGAGGGGGACCTGGAGCGACAGGGCCGCGGCGGACCGAGGGGGCGGGAGGGTTTGGCCGCCGCTAGCGGAGCAGGTGGCGGGCTCCCTCCGGGGCGGTGCCCAGCAGGCCGGGCGGCGGCGGCGGGCGCGGGGAGCAGCACACCTGCGCGCCCACGGAGCTGCGCGTCCGCGAGCCCCGCGCCGGCCCCACGCCCCCCCCCCCCCGCGTTTTTATTTTCGCGGCATCAACCGTCAGCCTCGCGCTCCTCTTCTGAGAACCACGGCGGAGGTCGGGCCCGCCCGGGGTAAGCGCCCCTGGCCCCGAGCCAGCCGGGGAGCCGAGAGGCGCCCGCCCGGGCCCGCGGCGGGAGGGCGGAGGGGGCCGCGGCCGAGACGCCGCCCCCGGGCCCCGCCGGGCCGCGCTGCCAGCCGGTCGCGAGCGGAGCTGCGCGGCCGGCCGCGCCCGGGGCCTCCGGGCCGCGGGGGGCCGCTGTGACCCGCCAGGGCCCCGCCGCGCCGGAGGGCCGGGCCGAGGGCGAGGGGCGAGGAGAGCAGGCGAGCGGCGGGCGGGCAGGCGAGCGGCGGGCGGGCAGGCGAGCGGGAGGCGGGCGCTGGCGGCGGGCGCTGCAGCTGCGGACCGCTCCGCCCGAGGCGCCAGGACAGCGGGCGGGCCCGCCTGGTCCATGAGGCCCGAGTGAGCGCGCGGCCCGTGGCGCCTCCCCCGCGTCCCCAGCACAGCGCGGCGCCGCGGCCCCGGAGCGGCAGGAGGAGCATGTCGGACGGGTTCGATCGGGCCCCAGGTGCTGGTCGGGGCCGCAGCCGGGGCCTGGGCCGCGGAGGGGGCGGGCCTGAGGGCGGCGGTTTCCCGAACGGAGCGGGGCCCGCGGAGCGGACGCGGCAGCCGCCTCCGCCGCAGCCCAAAGCGCCGGGCTTCCTGCAGCAGCAGCCGCCGCCGCTGCGCCAGCCCAGGACGGCCCCGCCGCCAGGGGCCCAGAGCGAGCGCCCCGCCGGCGCCCCGCGGCCGCCCCGGCCCGCGCCGCTCCCAGGTACGGAGCCGCGCCTCCCGGGGACCGGTCCTGCGGCCCGCGCGCCCAGCCCTGCCGCCCGCGCCCCGCAGCCGCCGAGGGCCGGGGGGCCGGGTGGGCACGGCCCGCGGCGGGTCGGAAGGTTGCGGGAGCCCTTTGTGCGCCGCGGGGGAGGGGCGCGCGGGCCCCGCTGCCGCCGGCCCGGGAGGAAGTGGCGAGTCGCCGCCCCTGCCCCAGCCCCCGAGGCCGGGCCCTCCCGGGGGACATCTTGGGTGAGCGGCCCCCTTCTCCCAACCGACTCCCGGCGGGAGGAGAGCCTCGGGCATCGCCGAGGAGCCGCGTCGGCCGGAACGAGCCGAAGCGTCTATTGTTCCTCGCGGCGGGCTCCGCACCTCCCTGCTCCGCGGACCCTTCGTGGCGGCGCCCGCGCAGCGCTTCGAAAGCAGCCCCGCTCGGGGCCTGTGCGGTGCATAGGGAGTTGCTCCCTAGCGGCACGAGCGCGTCGAACACCCCTCTTTTTCCTTCCTCAGAACAAACGAGACCGCAGGACAGTGTCCCCCAGCAGAACCCGGAGCCGGCGATGGCCAAACCCCAGGTGGTTGTCGCCCCGGTGTTGATGTCCAAGCTGTCTGCGAACGCCCCTGAATTCTACCCTTCGGGTTATTCCAGCTACACAGTAAGTACGCCCCGGGCTCCAGCTCCGGGCACACGGCTGGATGGTGGGGTGGCTGCTCCCCTCGCCGGCGCTGGTGTGCCCCGGGCTCCGCATCGACACGGGAGGCCGTGGCGCTCAAACGAAGCAGTACTGCTGGGCACTGTGGGCTGTAGTCACCGTGCTCAGGGTCTCAGAGGGTAGCCTCGCGAGGGGACGTTCCTGGCCCCCCCACTGCTGTGTTCCGGCCTCTGCAGAAGCTCCAGGCTGACGAGCTCGACAGAGGCAAGGACCCCCACCCCCTGCAGTATATAAAACTCCAGTTTGTGTCCAGACTTTATGAACTTCTAGAACAGGGGCCTGGCAAAGTTGATTTTTAAATTGAGTTTAGCAAGATTGCGGAGTATTTACCGGGAGATTCAGGGTAAATCAAAGTGGTTTTGAGGCAGACTACTTTGTGTAGGTTTTTGAATGGTGAAAAGTACACATCTGGGCTCTGTTAAGTTAAAATAGACCGTGCTTCTGGTTCTACTTAGCTATTGTTATGCACAAATGTAGGGTTTTTTTGATAAAGTGTTTACGTAGGTGTAAAGAATTTATAAGCTTTCAGATTCATCTTTGTCAATAACATAAGAATTTTAAAATTTGGACAAAACAGGGCGGATAGAAAGGAATCGGTTGACTAAGTGATACATAGCAATTAACTGTAGATAAATAGGGCAAGAACCATTCTGGATCGAAGAAATAATTGATAATACTTCAGCACAAGTCCTACTTTTCCTATATTCTTTGTTTATTGACCTATAACACACTGAATGGTGCACATAAAGGTTCGGTCAAAGTTTCACAAAGTGAACACTTGGGCAACCAGCATCCAAATGAAGAAAAGGAACATTATGGGCATCCCAAAAGCCACCTCTGTGTCCTTCTGGTCATCACTGCTCTCCAAGGGTAACCACTATTTGCTTATCAAAAGTTTTGTCTTTTTTCAAGGTTTATGTAAATGAAGTTATATTGAATATATGTTTCCCACTTTCATTCAACATAAAATTCATCCATGTTGTAGCATGTAATTGGAGGTGACTCATTCCATTATGTGACTATTACCACAGTCCCATTTGTCTGTTGAACACTGGGGTAGCTCCCACTTTGGTGGATATACACCCTTACCTCTGTTTGGTACATGCCAAGGAATGGAATTGCTGGGACACAGGGAGCCAGCTTTGGTAGAGATGCCTGCTGGTCTTCCTGAGACTTGCAGTGTACGCTTGGAGTAGTGTGTGATTTCCAGTTGCTCTGCTGCTTGCTGTGCACTTAGTATTTTCTGTTTGTTTACGTTCATTCTGTAGCTGTGTGGTATCTGGTTGTAAATTTAGTTTGTATTTACCCGATAACTAATGGTGGACACCTTTTTGCTTTCCTTCCATATTTGATGGAAAGTGTGGAAAAGCTGTATTTTATACTTTAGAAACTCCATGTATCTCAGACGACATCAGGAACAAAGCTTTGGGACTAGAAAGGGGAAAGCCTAGGCATAGTGGGAAGAGTAGTTGATTTGTGTTGAAAGGAGCCACCAGTCAGTAAAGTAGAAGTGAGAGCAGCTTGGGTTCTTGCCAGAAGATTGTATTTGGCCCAGAGATGAAAGCAGCCATTGGAAAGCTGTGAGTAGTTGAATAAACTCTTAAGGGTACTTAACCTTCTGACAGCCGCAGAGTTCCCCGGCTGTCTCCCTATTGAGCTATCTTATGTAGGACTGATGTAGTTTTCTCAGTTCTGTGCCAACTAGTTTTACATGGTTCAGGTTGACTCCTGGGCTGGCTACAGAGCAGTGTATTGACTGTTAGACCACTTACTTTGAGTCACTGTCACCTTTGAGGCCTCCCTTGACCTCTCGTAGATCAGCTTTTCTGCTCAGGTCTCCAGAATGGATTGCAAGCTGGAAGCCTGTGGCTCATGTGTGGCCTGCAGGTGTTTCTCCTTTGGCCTTGTTTGTTTGTTTTTTCTAAAGGGTTTTTAATAAGTTACCAGCACTTAAATTAGATACTGCAAATCTGAACTTTTTGCTTTCTCATGAAATCGTAACATCTGGCCGTAATGGACTGTTATTTTAATTAAACTTGGCTGAATAGAGGCAGTCCCTTTAGATGGAGAGTGTGAGCTCTTACTTGCTCATTGGCTTATTTCATTTGTTTGTAATACACCTGAATTCTATATGCATTCAAGTTTGCTACCCTGCTCTGATACATTCTCTAGCCTTTACCCTTTAACCATCTGTCAAGGCTAAGAGTTTTTCACAATCCACTTAGTCTCCTGACTCTTAGGATAAGATTTTTTTTTTTTTAATTCTCACCTGAGGATATGTTTTTATTGATTTTTTTTTTTTTTTGAGAGAGAGAGAGAGAGCGAGTGAGCAAGCCTACAACCTTTTGATGTACAGGACAACATTCCAACCAACTGACCCACACGGCCAGGGCAGGATAAGATCTTTCAAGGGAAACTTTTAATTTCTGTATGTATTTATTTATGTAATTATTTATTTTTATCCTCACTGAGGACATTTTTCCATTTTTTATTCAGACAGAGTGGGAGGGAGAGAGAGGAAGAGAGAGAGAGAGAGAGAGAGAGAGAGAGAGAGAGAGGAACATCGATGTGAAAGGGACACATCGAGTGGTTGCCACCCGCACGACCCAACCGGGGCCAGGGACAAACTGCAACCAAGGCACCTGCCCCTAGTGGGAACCGAACCCGGGTCTCTGGACCGCAGGCCGATGCTCTAACCACTGAGCAACCGGGCAAGGCAGGAAACTTTCTTACAGTAGCCATAATCTAAAGTTAGCCGTATTCATTCACTCAACTCAGCAAATAGCTGAACACTTACCCTGGGTCAAGCACGGGGGATACAGCAGTGAACACAAGGCACAAAAAATCTTACATTCGTGGAGCCTTTGTTCTAGTGGTCTCTTGGCGTGGTCTCCAGAAACTCCTTGAGTCTGCTTTCGTTAGACACAAACATCTGTTGCATGGTGACCTTGAGCTGGATCTGCTCTCAAGAAAGCATGCTACCCTGAATGGTAGCTCAGTTGCCTAGGGTGTTGTCCTGATATATCAAGGTTTTGGGTTTGATACCCAGTCAGGGCACATACAGGAATCAACCAACGAATACATAAATTAAGTGGAACAATAAATCGATGTTTCTCTCTCTCTCTCCCTCCCTCCTCCTCTCTCCCTTCTTCTCTCTTAAATCAATAGATAAAAATTTTAAATAAGAAAAGAAAGCATGCTTTTTCTGGAAGCAGGTTATGATGGGCTTTTGCTGTGCTTTCTTAACCCTTCCAAAACTCTAAGCTCTTTTATCTTCAGTTCCCCTAATCCCACTGCTAGAATTCCTGCTCTCTGTCTCTTCTTACCAGTGAGTTTTGTATCCTTCTATTCCCGGCCGTTGTTGCTGCTCAGATAAACCATAACATCTTGAATATTTAATCACAGCTCATTTATGGGAAGCAAAAATTCTACATAGGAATTCATGAAGCATTTATTAAGAGATAAAACCCCCACCCACCCACCCCACAAAAATCCCAGCTTTTCTCCAAGAACATCCCCTTTCAGGTTATGTTTGTCTTCTGCCTTTCAGTAGTGACCTTGTCCAAAATGTGAAGCGATTCACTGCCGGGGCTGCATCTCCCTGACCGTTCAAACCTCTGCAGGCTGATCTCGCCAATTTTATTGCTACTATTTTGGAGACAGTTATTGATGCTTTGGGTTTTGAAATCCCTTGTCATCTTACCCCTCATCTTAGACTTTGTTAACCACAGGATCTGTAAGGGTTAACGAGTCACAGTGTACCAGGCCCTGTGCTAGGTGCCAAGGGTACATTTTCAGTCTTTGAAAAGTTTTTATTTTTGTGAGAACTGAATATTAAGGAAATAATTTTGATTTTCATTTTTCCCTCTCTGTGCCTGGTCGCCTCTGCTCCCTTGAGTCTACAACCATCGTTCTCTCTGATCTCACCTGTGACATTGCTCTGCAGCATGCAGTGCAGTGAGCGCCTCTTCCTTTGGCTTCCGGGACAGTGCCCTTGCTTCCTTCTCTCAGCTTGCAGCTCACTCCTTCCACCGTCGTGGAGGGTCTGGCGCTTTTCTGTTGCATTACGTCCTCTGACCCTGGCCCACCTGTCTGCGGAAACTCAGATCTAATTCTTCCTCTGAACCCCAGGCGTGAGTTGCCGTTTGTTTTGACCTCTTTATAAGGTTCTGACATTCAAACTCAGATACTATAAAAAAGAATTTGAACTATTTTCTGCAAACTTCTTGTTATATTTCTTATATGCTAGCTAGGTGCTCAGGCTCAAACCTTGTTGGTATATTGACTTATTTTTTTTTTTCATATCCTGCCCCCTTCAATCCAATTAACTAAAATATAGCTGACCCTTCAACAACATGAGGGGGAGGGGTGCCAACCCCCACACAATGTAAAGTCTACATATAACTTTGACTCCCTCAAAATTTCATTATCCTTCAGTATCTGCAAGGGATTGGTTCCAGGACCCATGTGGATACCAAAGTCCATGGATGCTCAGACTCCCTCTGTAACACGGCACAGATCAGTGCACGCAGTCGATCTTCCACACCCCCGGACTCCCAGCCACAGGCTGAAAACAGAACAGGTATTTATTGGGGAAAGCCTCGTATAGGTGGACCCCTGCATTCAGACCTGTGCTCAGGGTCCGCTGGAGTCTCGACGATTCACCGTCTAAGTGTCTGCTCAGCTTCCTTTTATTCCCACTGCTTTGGATTCGGTTCTCATTGTAACAGTGTATTCCAAGTATCTACTGAGAAAAATGAGTTTTCTAATTGATTTCCTTCCTAATCTCTTGCCCCATAATTCTTTCTAAGACAAATAAATGAACCTTAAGTATTCCTCAGCTGGGAAGTCGTGTAAGTCACATGAAGACTGAAGAAGCTCGTACTGAGAAAGTGGGGCCTGGAGACGAGCTGGCTCACGCCGGGCGGCCTTGTGTGTGCAGAACACGCTGCTTCCTGTCCGCTCACAGTGACAGGCCCCGTTCAGCTGTGTTCAGGGGCGCTCTGCCTGCTGCTTTTGCCTTCAGAATTCAATTTTTTTTCTTCTTTTTAATCTTCACCTGAGGATATTATTTTTCTATTTATCATCAGATAGAGTGGGAGAGAGGGCGGGAGAGAGAGATCCACAGGCTGCCCCCCCCCGCAGGACCCCTACCAGGGCCAGGACGAACTGCAACCGAGGTGCGCGCCCTTGGCCAGAATTAAACCCGTGACTTTGTTCCGCGAGCTGACGCTCTACTGCTGAGCCAAACCGGCCAGGACAGAATTTATATTTCTTAAATGAGAGTTTTGTGTAATAAAAGGGCTGAAATCAGTGTTATAAACTATTTTGCCACAATGAGTGACATTTGATAGAAACCATTAGGAAATTAATACCGTCAGCTTCGACCTGTGGACTTCCTGCTTGTAAACCTAAACTATGTTAAAAACTTAACTTAGTTTTTAATTGTAAAATTTACATGTGTATGTGTGGTTAACATCAAGGATATTATTTCTTGTATGAATTTATAATGTGTAACCACTTTCACAATTTTATAATAAAGGGTCAGTATTTATAACATGAACATTTCTCCAAAAGTCACTACTATTATCACTTGTTTAACATCTTTTCAGAAATTTAGTTGTCTATAAGTCTCTTTTAAAAAACATTAAGTCTAGCCCTGACCGGTGTTGTTGAGTGGTTAGAGCGCCAGCCTGTGCACTGAAGGGTCACAGGTTCGATTCCTTGTTAGGGGCACGAACGTGCCTGGGTTGAGGTTCCATCCCGGCCCTGGTCTGCGCCGTGTGGGAAGCAAACAACCCATGTGTCTCTCTCACATCGTTGTTTCTCTTTTCCTCTCTCCCCCCTCCCTCCCACTCTTCTCTAAAAATCAGTGGGAAAAAACCCTCAGGTGAGAATTAACAACGACACAAATAAAATAAAATGTACTAAAATATGGTTCTGTATTCTCTTTTCACTTGACACTATATTGGTAATATTTCTGTGTTGGTATATGTAAGTTCTGTTTTTTCCGGTGGCTATGTGATATTTCATTATATGAATATGAGGTAATGTAGTTAACCAATTCTTTGTTGTTGGATTGTTAGATGAATTTGTGGCACTGAGTATCTTTGTACTTATGTCAAAGTTGGTTTTTAAGCTTCTTCGTTGGTTATTTGTCATATGGCATAGAAGTAAAAAGATAGGTTTTGTTCAGTGCCCAGTTCTAGCTATGTGACTGCGTAAATGACATGGTCCTTGGCACATGGTCCTTCCTTGCTGAACCTATCCCAACACCCCTCACACTCTGGCCTTTCCACTATGTTTTGAGGCAGTCTCCTTAGTATGTTCCCTGTCACCCTCCATGGTCTCTCTCTGTCTTATTGGTCACTAGCTACCACCCCATCCTTGGTTTCTTCTGGACTTTCTTTCTCAAAGGTGTCCGTAAGCACCTGTCTCCTTGGGGCCTCCTTCTGTGTCAGTTTTAATGTTACCTGTTCAGGATCCTTCCTTGACTTTTTTTTAATGTGTTTTTATTGATTATTTTTTTTTAGAGAGGAAAGGAGGGAGAGAAACATCGATGTGAGAGAAACATCAATCAGCTGCCTCTTGCACGCATCCTGTTGGGGATCGAGCCTGCAACCCGGGCATTGCCCTGACCGGGAATCGAACCGGGACCCTCAGTCCACTGAGCCACATTTTTTTCATAGTATATCTCAATGTCCGAATAATGCCTTCCATGACGGAATAGAAGGTCCACAGAGAAGGACTTGGTCTCCTCTAATTGTGGCCTGACAGTACTCCCAGCACCTGGCAGACACTCCGTCCCCAGTTTTGAATGAGTAACATACATGCAACTGGTGGCTGTTAGCTTATTAATGAGTTAGTTAGAATATCATCCTAGGTATCAAGAAGGGTAGTTTATCATTCTACTTTGTATGTGTTAGCTCTTTCAGGTAGGAGCACATGGCTGTCCCATTTGGAATATGTTTCATTCTTTTCCTAGAAATTTAGAAATTTATTTGTTGACCATTTAGTGCCTTACCATATAGTGGTCACTGGTCCAGGGGAATTTACTCATTAACTTACTTAACTTATTAACTCATTTAATCCTCAGTCACACAGCTGTAATGTTTGTGATTCGTGAATTTGAATTGCATCAACATTAATGGGTCATTTAATTTGGATTCAGTTGTGTGTGTGATCAGACAAACAGTTAATGTATGAGTTCACCTGCTCTTCTCAGTGAACTCTGAGCATGATCTCGGCGCATGACTCTGCTGTTTCTGCAGCTGGTATTATTTCCTGAGTGCCTCTCGTGTACATGCACCTTGTCCTGTTGAATATCACTTGAGTGTCTAGAGAAAAATAAAAATTATTCCACGTGGCCTCTGAGTGGCGGTCAGCTGAGGACAGAGTGTTTAGCAGCAGAGGAGGAGCAGTTGGCTGGGTTGGTCTTTCTGCTGATTGTGTGTCCACCTCCAGGAGCTTTTCCTAAGGGGAATTTTGACAAAGGTATGATTTATTTATTTTTTCCCTTTTATGCACTCACTGATGTTAGAGTTTAACCCTTTCTGTATTCGTACTTCTTACTCTTACTCTTGGTTTCTCACTTGACTCCTTTTGGAAAGGGGTGAATTTCATCAAGCAGCATGGTTATTATTAGATCACCGCCGTTCAGTAAACTTGAGAATGCTTGGGTGGTATTCCAGGCAGGGAGAGTGTAAGTTGATGTTCGGATCTGTTATGTTTTGCAGTACGCACATCCTCAGCCTCTTGCCATTAATTATAAGGCTGGGAACTTCAGAGGTGATAGTGGTGGAGACATTAGCTGGAAACTGCTTCTATCAAGGTTGGCTTGAAACCTAGATATGGCAGCCAGAACGTCTCCTACCAGTGTACACTATGATGACATTTCATGTTCACTTAACTTTTATATTTCCCTGTCCTTGCGGATTAACAGATCGACAAATGGCAACCCTTAGCAGTTTCTTTCAGTATAGAAATTGTCAAGTACCTAGCAGGATGTGGAGAATGCTATAATGAATCCTCATGACCTCGTCAATTAGTTCCATGTGGCCATTCTTGGCTCTCTATTCCTGGCCCCTCTTCCCTTCCCATTGCAAATCCTAGATCTTATTGTATCCATAAATAGATTAAAGTCTTAATTTTGATATTGGTATTATAGTAAAATATTGGTTTAAACTTTATTTCTCAGCCATCTTACAAATCTGCCAGGGAGGAGAAGACCATTCCCTACCCAGCTAGATGGTGCCCTTCCGTTGTAACATTTTGGCCATGGACTTAATGTGGACTAAAGCTCAGTGGACTTAATTTTATTGATGAAAATAACAAATTTTATCATATGAAGGATCCTTTAAAAAATAATTTGTGGCCCTGGCCAGTTTGGCTCAGCGGTTAGAGCGTCGGCCTGCGGTCCGGAGAGACCCGGGTTCAGTTCCCGCTAAGGGCACGTACTTCGGTTGCAGTTTGTCCCCGGCCCTGGTTGGTCGTGCGGGTGGCAGCCACTCGATGTGTCCCTTTCACGTCGATGTTTCTCTCTCTCTCTCTCCCTCCCACTCTATCTGTACAAAAAAAATAATAATAATAATAATAATAATTTGTGCTAGAAACATCTCAGCCTAAAGCTGCCTCATGTTTATTTCAGCCAGCCACAGGATTAAAACTTTTCTTTTTAACTTTGTATCTATAGGAATCCTATGAAGATGGTTGTGAGGATTATCCCACTCTATCAGAATATGTTCAGGATTTTTTGAATCATCTGACAGAGCAGCCTGGCAGTTTTGAAACTGAAATTGAGCAGTTTTCAGACACCCTGAATGGCTGGGTTACAACAGACGATGCTTTGCAAGAACTTGTGGAACTGATCTACCAACAGGTAGGTTGCTGATAGCATGTAGCATGGGATGGTCGCCAGGTGGCTTCCTTGAAGCCCAAGAGCAGTGACTGCTCCTTGAGAGAGACCAGGTTCGTGGTCACCTGCCTCCACACTGGTTAATGCCATGGTTCATGGGCGCTCTTAGGTTTCTGTCGATAGAATCCTTGGGGATCCAGGGCTGGGGCAAGACTGCAGATTCACCGGTGCAGCCAAGGTTCTAGACGCAGTAGGAAGGAGCTCTGGGCATTTATGAAGCAGGCTTCATAAGTGTCACGCCTTTCCCCACCCTTTTTGCTTTTGGGGAGTCTGAAATTAATACATTAAAAGACTGCAAAATTTCCTCCTAGATGTTGAATAATTATTGGAGTAAGGGAGAAAAGATCATGGGAGAACTTTCTTGCCTTATAAATGAGTCCTTTAAAAAAAAAAGCCAAACCACAAGACATCCTGTCTAATTTTAACATTTCTGCATCTTTATCTTAAATTTTCAAGGATTTACAATTTAATTCCTTGGAAATCTCATGTCTGTGCTTGTTTTATCATGCAAAGGTTAGTTTTGATCCTAGCATATTGTCACTGACACATTAATGCTATTTTAAGGGAGAGAAATAGACAGCACTGGATTTTTTAAGATATTTAAGGTCGTGTGAGACTGACAAAAAACGGAGTAGGAGATGAACATAAACAGAACCACTAGCGTTCTTTAAGGCATTGCTGAATGAGCAGCTCAAGTTTGGGATAGAAGGAAGGGCGGTTATGATAGCAATTGGTGGCTTTGTTTTTTTGCCACCTAGTATCTATTTTGACTATATTTCCGATTTGTTCTGGGTTGTTACTGAACCTCGATATCGCCCAGCAACTTTCATCCTTTTTCTTTTCATCTCATGGCACAAAGAAAGAATTACTACAATTCTGTGGCATACCAGAAATACATTGTATTTTTTGCTAATCTGACAAAAAATAAAGTAGGTATAACTTTGACCCACTCGCACTGGACAGCTGTTGTGTTGGCTGTTGGCCCTTTTCTGTCTGACAGGCTAAGGGAAGAGGTCGGTGCCCTGACCGAGAGCCAGGTACGGCCTGTTGTGCGCATTCCCGCGCCCCTGGAACCTCGCTGCCCAGCCGGCTCGGGTTTCCGGAAATGCCTAGATTTTAGGAAGATAGAACTAACTGGTCTTTTTGTCCTGATACCTATTTTCAACTTCCAAATGGATTAAAAAAGAATGTGAGATAAGAAAATGGAAGAATTAGACTTAAGCTTTTTCTGGTCTCTCTTCTGTCTCGTTTCAGCTCTTGAATAGACGGACGATCATAGTTCATGGCGGGCGGGCGGAGGGGCTGTCACCTGACAAAGTAGTTTCTGTGCTTGTCTCAAAGCCAAGTCTTCAAATAAGCTCTCAGCGCTGTTTAAGTTTAACGTTCTGTGGGCGGTGATACACAGGTTCACCAGTAGTTCTTAGATTTCCAGGGAGGGAATTTACTCATAGCAACTAACGAAGAAAGACCTGTTGTAAAAAAAAGACCGTAAATATCCACATGCAACTTTGATTGCTCCCCAAGTGCCACTAAATGACAGCATGCAGATTTTCAAAGGCCAGACGCCGTGAGGACGAGGTGGGGACAGGAGAGAAAAGAACCCGGATTGGAGACTAGCAGTCAGGTGGAAATTGACTTGGCAGATTTACATAAGTTGAATTTCAAACCAGTGAGAGTAGTTGAGAATCTCCCTGGTTTATGGTGTAGAATTTCTAAAAGACTCGAGGATAAGGAATGAGGCTAAAGATTGCTAGAAAAATCTAAAAAAAGTAGGTCTAGGTATTTTTGCACTGAGTAGTCAGTTTGAAGTTTTATTGTAACCTTCTTAAGAAGTTACTGAAGAAGCCCTGGCCAGTGTGGCTCAGCGGTCGGAGCGTTGGCCTACGGATCAGAGAGTCCTGGGTTCGGTTCCTGCTAGAGGCATGTACCAAAAAAAAAAAAGAAATTACTGAAGAAGGTACTCCAGCAAAACAAAGGCATTAAGCCAAGGACGAAGACATGTCTAGGAAACGGAATTTTGTGGAAGTGTGTCATCCAGATGATGGCCAAAGAAGATCCAAGATAAGAGCCGTGTGCGTAGCAGTCCCGAGGGGCCAGGCCTCGCTGGAGTGGGGCCCGAGGCTCCAGGAAAGATCTCCCTGGGAAGATGAGCACGGTGCTGTGTGGGAAAATATTAAGAAATTTACAAACTCGAGTGAGTTTAGGAATAAATAGAAGTACATAAAAAACAAAGTACTAGAAAAAATATTGATTGTCTAGAGAAAACAAAGTTGTACAAGAAAGAAATAAGTATAATACATGGTTAGCCGTAAATGAAATAAAAAACTAATAAAGTAAAACCATGGTATCTCCCCACTGGTAGATGGAAGGGTTGGGAAGCAGTGGAACGGAGTGGGTTTAGCAGGGTGAGACTAAATGCTCATCTTCCGTGTGGGAAACTAGTGAGAAGTGATGTGTAACTGAAAGGTCATTAAAACTTTTTATGTGTGAGAATCAGAGTGGTTGTCTGTGGGAGTGAAATTGAGGTGTAGTGGGGAAGCAGGAGACATTAATAACCAGCCTTGTAGAACTTCTTGTCTTTAAATTGTGTGTGATCATTTTAAAAGTAAACTAAAAGAAAACAGGCAATGTCAATAATGGGAAGAGTATAATTTTTGAGTTTTAAATCTCTTGTGGTATCAGATACATTCGTGATGTCAGGAGAAGCCAGTCTTTTTTCTTGGATGAGACATGTTCAGGATCCTGGGTGAGCAAGGAAATAATCAGAAATAAAAAGTTCTGATAATTACCAAGTACTTATGACATGCCAAGCAGTGCCAAACACTCGACATGTAGTTAGATCATTTACTCCTCAGTAGTCATGCAATATTACTCTTATACTCGTATCTTAATGGAGAAGTTATGTCTCTAAGGTTATTTCAGCAAGTAAGTAGGCCCAGCATAGGATCTGAAGGACATCAGGACATTTGTTAGATCTAGACTCTGCTGAACTACCTTTGTGACCTTGGCCAGGTCCCTTAACTTGTAATATGTATTTTTTCTTACCTAACCATTTAAAAACTATAGTGAAAGTTAAAATTGAGTATTGTTTTGGCTGTACCATACAGTCTCTGATATGTAGTGTTTTCTTGCTGTCTTTATTTTTTTATATATTTTCATTAATTAGAGAGAGAGAAACACTGATGTTAGAGAGTAACATCCATCAGTTGCCTCCCACATGTGCCCCTACTGGGGATCAAACCCACAACCCGAGCATGTGCCCTGGCCAGGAATGGAACCAGTGATCTCTTGGTGCATGGGACAGTGCCCAGCCAACTGAGGCAGACGGGCCAGGACTCGCTGTCAATTTTTTTCTTTATTGATTTGAGAGAGAGACAGAGTAGGGGAGAGAGAGATAGAAACATTCATGAGCGAGAACATCAATGGGCCACCTCCTGCATGCCCCACACTGGTGATTGGGCCCACAACATGGGCATGCGCCCTGACTGGGATTAAGTCACAGACCTCTTGGTGGATGGAGTTGATGCTCAGCCACGGAGCCACACCGACCGGGCTCACGGTCTTATTATTTTTTTAATGGCTTATCCATTTCAGTTTCCTCTATCCCAGGTGTGTTTGCAGCGGTCTTTAAGTGTTAATCTCTCACGCCAGGAACATTAATCATCTCTTTAAGAATCAAGAAACTAAAGCTCAGGGAGGTATAGTGATGTACAAAGTCACTGAACACAAGGCCTGAGAATCTTGCTCTGGGCTCCTGGATGCCAGAGTTGGTGCCCTCCTATTACCATGAAAGTGCAGATCAGTAGTTTGGTAGATACTCTCATTCATAATTGGCACTATGCAGCCAGGGACATGTACATCTTTTGTGCAAAAATGGGTTAGTGTAAAGACATATTGTCTGTCTGCTTTCTGGTGACTGCAGGTAAATAATGGGAACTTGCCTTAAAGTCTTGTACTTGTTCCGGTTCTTGGTTGGGAGTGAAAGTCAACCTAATTGCCTTAGGCCTAGCAGTTACAAAGGACTTGTACATTTTTGTTTACAATATGCTTGTTTGAGGAGTAGAAATGGTTTTTCCTCTCTGTGGTGTTTCTGTTTGCATTAATGATGATGTATCTGTGTCATATAAACCTTTTTTCTTTTTGAAAGGCCACATCCATCCAAAATTTCTCCTACATGGGAGCACGCCTGTGCAATTACCTGTCCCATCATCTGACAATTAGCTCGCAGAGTGGCAACTTCCGCCAACTGCTACTTCAAAGGTCAGTGTGAATGTATGAAATTAAAGGAAAACTGCTTCTAAAGGTACTAGAATGTGACCTTTTTTCCAAAGACTGTACAGTGTAGAACGTTGTAGGGGAGACTAGAACAGACCATCCATATTGGTATAGTAGTAAAACTATAGCTTATATATACCAGTCCTTTTCTGGAGTGGTCCTGCCTTTGGTTTTGTGCCTAGAAAGGCCTTCCCTGTCCCAAGTTCTTAAAAACAATCACTTAGGTATTTCTCATACTGTTGTACTTGGTTTTCAGCAAGGATCTGATTTATTTATTGCCATGTGTTCAGCCAGTTTTTTTCATGCCGTTTTCTTGAATGATTCATTTCCCCGCTGACTGAACTGTGTGCTACCTTTATCACGTATGTCCTTCTGTTTGGGTTTTGATTTTGCACATTCATTAGATTCCACTTATCACTTGTTTTATTATACTGTTTGAAAGCTTTAATTTTTAATGTCTAGTCTAGTTCCTCATTGTTTTTGGGGACTTTTCTTTGCCATTCTGGCATGATTTTCTTCAATAAACTTCAGAATCGGCATGTGCAATTATACAAATCTTGTTGGTATTTATTAGATATTTGGGGTGAAATTGAATTCATAAACCAGTTCAGGGGAGCTGAAATTCTTATAACTTATTTTATTCAATGACAAGGTTATCTTTGCATTTATCATAGTTCATACATTAGTTCTTCAGTGATACTGTGAGTGTCTGCACAGTGTCCCGCCGTGCAGCTAACCCGCACGGAAGAGAGGAGGGGGCAGAGGTCACTTCAGAGGTGGAGCGTCTGGCTCCAGGTGAAGGTGGTGCTTCGGGTCCACGTGCACGAGATGCCGTGTGCCGCCAGCCCAGCTGGCCTGCTGGGGGAAACAGCAAAGATGGCTCCTGTCTCCACACCAGGATGTAGTTCAGATACAGCAAACATTTAAATCAAAGGGGGACGGGGAACACTAGCAGGGGAATTGGCAAACAAAAATCTTAGTTGCTAAATCCCTTTTAAGCAAGACATGATACCCACAGGCCCTAAAGCAAGAGATTAAACTCAATTACATATAGGTTATAATATTTTGGGGATCATAAATTGATGTGAACTATAGGAAAATATATACCATGTGGTAATGAGCTCATTTATTTCGTATGAAAGAGGGACCTTTGTGAATGAGTAAGGAAAGGACCAGTGCTTCAATAGAAGCCACTAGGAATGGCTCTGAATAGGTACAGTGTGGAAACGTAAGTGACAACATTATAAAACGATGTTTAACCTTCCCTGTAGTTAAGAAATACAAAGTAAAGCTTCCGGAGAGATGTGAGAGTGGGCACCTCTGAGGGTGGGATGGCAGACAGGCTCGCTCACCTTCTCAGTGCTGCTCAGCCCGCTGTGCCAAGGAGTGGGCTGAGCCCTGTCCCCACTCGGGGATGTTCTAATGTCATGGACTGAGGTGGAGCCGGGCATGGTTTTTTAAAGCTTCCCAAGTGATTCTGCTGTGTAGCCTTGGGTTTCTCACCCTCTTGACTCTGCCCCATGTGAACAACTGTGGTACTGATACTGTCAAAGGTGTTAACATGGAAAAATGCTAATCACGTAACTAGTGAAAAGCTGGGCATAATCTACTACCTAACTTAAAAATATATACACACTTGAAAAAGACAGAAGTTACCTTCACAGCAGTTATCTCTGGGCTGCGTGACTTGGTTTTTTATTTTTCCCTACTTTTACCTTTCTGAAGTAAACGTGTATTGCTTTTATAATTGAAACTCTTTAGCTTAAAGGTTTAGGTTCTTTTCTCTCACCTAGATAATCAGCCATATACAGGAGTAGGAATTGCTTCTGCATTCACATATCTTAATGCGTAAGAGTCTAGCATTTATGAAACAGAAGGTCATTTCATCAAAGGTTTTACCTGCAAAGTCATAAAAGAAAGGACAGAGAAAGGAAAGCAGCCAACAAGGTGCTTGGACAACTGAATCGGCATTAATTAGCTGATCTTTCTGTAATTAACCACAGTGCTGTATTTATAGATATCCCAACTGTTTTCTGAGTGAGGAATTAATATGTATGAGGAGGTAACAAATACCTCTGTCTGTGACTGACGCAGAAGAGGTTGCTCATTTATGATAGCCCGTAAGCCCTGGAATCAGCCACGGCAGGCCCGGTCAGCTGTGCTGGCTGTACTCGTGGTTGATTTCATAAACTGACCCAAGGTAAATTCTTGGTGAGGAAGTGACTTCTTTCTTCCTCAAAAAACTTTTTTTACAAAGCAACCTAAACTGGTCCTTCATGAACAATGTAAGCTCCTTCCTTGCTCTTTAAAAGAGGAACTGTTGCCCTGGCCGGTTTGGCTCAGCAGTTAGCGCGTCGGCCTGGGGTCTGGAGAGACCCGGGTTCGGTTCCCGCTAAGGGCACGTACTTCAGTTGCAGTTTGTCCCCGGCCCTGGTTGGGTCGTGCGGGTGGCAGCCACTCGATGTGTCCCTTTCACATCAATGTTTCTCTCTCTCTCTCTCTCTCTCCCTCCCTCCCATTCTGTCTGAATAAAATATGGAAAAAATGTCCTCAGGTGAGGATAAAACAAAAAAAGAGGAACTGTCAAGATAAATTTTATAAAACACACAACTTTCCTACCTTATCACCACCTTACTTACAAAGATAAGGAAAAATATTTGAAATGGTAACGGTTACAGTCCACTTAAAACTCTGCGTTAGCAGCTGGCACCAAGTCACTGGCTTGGGCGTGACAGGCTCCTAGTGATGGTTTCCGAGCCCTTGTAGGAGTTACGTCCACGAAGCTCCAGGAAGGGTGTTTCTGTGGTTTACGTAAGGCAAACAGGCCTCGTGGGGCGGGGCTAAATTATTTGACTCCTTCCGTCTCTATTAGAAATAAAGACCAAATTAATTGCTTTCTATGTGTCTATTCAGTTGGGACTTTCCCCCTTACTTCTCTTCTCTGGTCCATATAATGGAAATTACAAGGATAATGGGCTTAATAATAATTAATTTTATTTCAGCTTAGTTGGAGGCCATCTTTATATATTTTTAAAGATCTGTTTCAAAGTTCATATATTCAGAAAGAGGAGAACATTTTATAGAAACAGTTTGGGTAAAAACAGTGCCAGTATATCTGAACCTTTTAAGACTATGTTGTTTAAACTTATACAAACTTGATCTGATAGGTTTGTTTTCAACTATTCATATCAGTTTATTAAAACAGGGCATTTCAGTATGAAAGATGGTGTGTAGTCTGGTCTCTCAACAGACAGGAACGCTTTTTATTCTAGAAAGTCAGAGCTTTGGTGCACTGTACTTGCCTCTGTATTGCTTGTGAACAACCAGACCAACAATTGGTCATCTTGTCTGTCTGTGTAAAAAACAAAGCAACATGAGATTATAAAAGGGTTATCTGTCTTAGATGTCGGACTGAATATGAACTGAGAGATCAAGCTGCCAAGGGGGATGAAGCAACTCGAAAACGATTCCATGCGTTTGTGCTCTTTCTGGGAGAACTTTATCTTAACCTGGAGGTGAGGAGATGGCTTCTTTTGTTAAGTACTTGTGTTAGGTAAAGCTTGAAAACACATTGATCTCAGTAAATTTGTGTTTACATTATACTTCTACAACATTAAGAGTGGCGTGGGAGAGAGAGAAGAACGCTCGGTGCCCACTCATGGTGATGCTGTGCTCTAGGGGACACTTGTTTTGCTGATCAAGGGCAAGGTGTTGGGAAGTAGTTTCGGGGCATTTTAAAGTCTTCCTGCCTTGACCGTTTTGGCTCAGCGGTTAGAACGTCGGTCCGCGGACCAGAGAGGCCCGGGTTCAGTTTCGGCTAAGGGCGTGTACCTCGGTTGCAGTTTGTCCTCGGCCCCGGTTGGGGTCATGCGGGTGGCAACCAGTTGATGTGTCTCTCTCACATAAATGTTTCTCTCTCTCTTCCTCCCTCTCTCCCTCCCACACTATCTAAAGATAAATGCAAAAAAAAAAAAGTGAAGTCTTCATGTATTTTTGGAAAGCCAAGGTGTTGCATTCATGTCTAAACTTTTGAAATGGAAACATTCATACATTTTTGGATTCTTGCATTGGGAACATTTCTACATCTAAGCTACTGACATTTGGATGGTGGCTGAAAAGCAACTTGACCTAGAGAACACAAAGCTTGGAGTGAAGAGGGGAGAGACCAGAGTTTGATTTTTTTCACCTAATTCACTCAAATTATTCTTGGCCCTGTTTTATATGTTAGTCTTCCACTTAAAATGCATTTGTACATAGGGTACAGCTGAATTTGTAAACTGGTGGTATACTTAAGCATATGCTTGTTAGTAGGCGACTTAAGTGCCAGATAGTACTTTGTAAGAGATTTGTGGGTTGGTGTATTGGCCGGTTAGTCTCAGAGACCAGTTTATCTTAAAGCCTAAGCTGAGGACAAGTGCCGGAGCCCACTGAAGAGACGCATGACCCACTGTGAAGTGTGCGTCAGTGATCTGGAGGTCTGTCCAGTCTAGTGCCTAATTTACGATCCCCTTTTATCATGGGGGGCTTAATTTTATAAAAGGTTTATATCTTCATCTTTTTCAGTTTAACAGTGTGTAAGGTAAAATACGAGCACCAGTCCTCATGCCTCGGATGCAGAGCCACTGTAAGAACGCTGTTGCGTCCTCGTGGAAGTGCTTGCGCTGGGTGTAGGGGCGGGGACCAGACGTGGCTCTTGAACTTAAAATTCTTCTAGCCAGACAGCATAGACACGTATGCCATTCTCCTGCAAAGTCAGAGTATTTTAACACAGTATATAAACAGCAGAGTAAAACGCTGTGTTTTCCCAAAAAAGGTGGCTTAATAGACTAGAGATGCTTTGTGAAGCAGTAACATTCAAGGAGGCTTACATATCCAGACCATGTGTTATGGGTGATAAATGAAAAATTTATCTGTAGTTTACGTTTTATTCGGAATCTTAGTTACATGTAAGATAAGGCCAATTTCGTGAAGATATTCAGAATGCGTTCTATGTTTTTTGTATTGTTTTAACGTAAAATACTTACTTTGCCAACTCTTTATTAGACCATTTATTTGTTTGTATTATGTTTTGGCATAGTTGCTTTTCATTTTCTTTTGTCCCAAAAGATCAAAGGAACAAATGGACAGGTTACAAGAGCAGATATTCTTCAGGTTGGTCTCCGGGAGTTGCTGAATACCCTCTTTTCTAACCCTATGGATGATAACCTAATTTGTGCAGTAAAATTATTGAAGGTAGGTTTTACTTCTTTCCTTAAAGTGCAATTAACTGTTCTACCCTTTTAGCATATAATTTGGAGAAAGGAAAGTATATACAGTACACAAATGAATTCAACATTGTTATTACTTTAAGTTAAATATTGACATTTTACTTTGCTCTTGAATTTAAATATTGGAAAAGCAGTATATACTTAATGCAACAAGCAGATTTTGGAAGTGAAGATGGAAGTCCTTCCCTCCACTTCTTCCCCATGTCTGTGGTGTGCTCTCATAAACACCCACGGGAGCTCTTAGATCTTTGCGTGGCACACAGATTTACTTCTTTCTGCGTGGCTCCCCGGTGCTGCATTGTTGATCCATTCTCGACGAACAGTTGGGTTATTTTCAGTTTGCTCTCTGTAGCACTGTCCATAATCTGTCACTGTGTCTTTATGTGTGGTTGTTTATAGAGGTTAAATTCCTACACATAGGACCCGGCCAGTGTGGCTCAGTGGTTGAGCATCGGTCCACGTACCAGGAGGTCGCTGGTTTGATTCCCAGTCGGGGCACATGCCCAGGTTGTGGGCCCAATCCCCAGTTAGGGGCATGCAGGAGGCGGCCAATCAATGTTCTCTCTCATCGATATTTCTGTCTCCTTCTCCCCTCCTCTCTCTCTCAAAATCAATAAAGAAAAAAAAATCCTGCACATAGGTCTGGTGGATGAGAATATGTATACCCTAATTTGATGAGTACAAATGCTCCTTGACTTAGGATGGGGTTACATCCTACTACAAACCCATTGTAAGCTGAAAATATTCTAAGTTGAAAATGCATTTAGTACACCTAATCTACCAAACAACAGAGCTTAGCTAGGCCTATGTTAAACATGCTCAAAACATTACATTAGGCTACAGGTGGGCAGAGTCATCAAACACATGAAAACGCTGTAGAGTGTGGGTGGTTTACCCCGTTTACATACCTGCCTGGGAGCTGCAGCTCATGGCCACTGCCCAGCATCCCGAGAGAGGGTCATACCACATATTGCCGGCCTGGGGAAAGATGAAAACTCCGAGTAGTTTCTACTGAATGCTTATTGCGTAAGTGTAGCCTTGGCTGGTGTGGCCCCGTTGATGGGAGGGTTGTCCTTACACTGGGGGCTCCTGGATTAGATTCCTGGTCAAGGCACATACCCAGGTTTCGGGGTCAGTCCCCTGGTCAGGGGTTGAGGTACATACAGGAGGCAACCAGTCGTTTTTCTCTCCCTCTCCTTCCCTCTCTCTGTAAAACCAATAAAAAATATATATATATCCTCGGGTGAGGATTTAAAAAATATATGTCTTATTGTCATAAGGTGGGTGGGGATCTTCTGTAATGCCACATTTCGCTTCCAAACACTCAGCCAGAGTGTATTACCACCCGCAGTGAATGTGTACACCTCTTCCCCATCCCTATCTTTATAAGTGATGGATGCAGTCAGTCAGTCCTGGGGTTGGTTTTGTCAACAGGTGATGAGTAAAGACGAAAACCTCATTTCAGTACTTCAGTATCTATTGCACTCTGCATGTTTCAAAAAGTGACATATTGATTAAAATTTTATAGCCTGTCTTAGTCATACAGGGAGTATACCATATAGTAATTGACACATAAAACCTGTGATTAAAGTTCTGCTATAGTTCTTTAGCTTCTGTCAGTCAAGATAAACAAGGTATTGAGATACTGGAGTATAATATGGTAGAGAACAATTTAGAATATCTTTATTGAAATCTTAATTTTACTGATACCTGCGTTTTGTAGTTGACAGGGTCAGTTTTGGAAGATGCCTGGAAGGAGAAAGGAAAGACGGACATGGAAGAGGTTATCCAGAGGATTGAAAATGTCGTCCTGGATGCGAACTGCAGCAGGTAGGAGTGGGGCAGGCGCCAGGGGAGCAAGGTCCCACTTTTTCGTTGGGGTGCTTTTTTAATCAGCTGTGCTTCATCAGAGCATTTGAAATCTTACAGATTGATCCACAGAAAGGTTTTCTTTAAAGGCATAGTATTTCACCTATGGCTTCTGCTCACCTAGCAGTTTTTCTTCAGTTATTCAATAAATGTTTGGATGAAGTACTATTCTAAGTCAAGTAGGAAGCTTAGAAATGTTTGCAGGACGGCCACTGCATTTAAGAACCATATGGTTGGTTACGTGGAAAAAATTTCAAGGCTGTTTATTTATTTATGTATTTATTTTAAAGGTGAATTTATGTCATTACAGGAAATGTCTGGAAAATCAAAGCATTGACTGTACATGTTAAATTGATGAAACGGTATTAGGAGTCTGTGATATTTAGAGCACGTATGGTGGATATACTTTAACTAAAGCCTTTTCCATTTCTGCATGCAGAGACGTAAAACAAATGCTCTTGAAGCTTGTAGAACTCCGGTCAAGTAACTGGGGTAGAGTCCATGTCACCTCAACATACAGAGAAGCAACACCTGAAAATGATCCTAACTATTTTATGGTATGCCAATGTTTACTGTTCAAATTTTGCTTATTGCTTGAATTCAGTTTTGGAAATTTCTACATGAGTTACATAAAGCTGTTCCCGGAATTTAATGCCTAATAGGTCTTTTCACTGGCTTGGGGTCACATGTCAGCAAGCGGAGCAGGTAGATGGAGGAACATGGGATCCTCCTGCGACAGGGCAGCTGGAGAAAGACCCATCCAGTGGCAAGGGAAATTGATCAGACTTGGACTTGGGTGAGCGTAGGGAATCCAGGAGAATTCCCAGGGAATTCATAACAAATGGCCTGCATCTCAAACTTTACTTTGCATATTGTCACAAAATGAAAGTGGTTACCAGGCCAGTGATGCCCTGAAGTTCCCAGCATGACCAAACATAATGCAACTATGGAGGAATTGCTCCTACAACCTTAGTCTTGGAGATTCTCAAAGAAAATAGTGGTTGGAGAGGGAACCACAACTAAAACTGAGCCGACACTGAGTCACACTGCACAGCAGGGCAGCTCACTGTGAGTGTGACACCATACACGCAGTGTTAGAACAGGAGTGCGAGAGAATAGAGTGCAGTCTGATAGCCAGGCGGCCCCCGTGACACGGCCACGGCTGCTGGGGAGCCCATGTTTGCTTGACTTGCATTGTCAGGTGCAGAGGAGGACATCGGCCCTGCTTCATTGATAATGTGCTTTTGAAAAATCATTTTTGAAATGGTCACATATTTTTATCGCTTTGTTTCATCCTAGAACGAACCAACATTTTACACATCGGATGGTGTTCCTTTCACTGCAGCTGATCCAGGTATCTTGTCTCATGGTCTTTCCCCCCGTTTTTTGGTAAGATAGTAAATTACAGAAAACCGTACCCATACCAACACAAAATGTAGCTTTTCAGAGAGTTCACATCGTTCTGAAACACAGGGTCAAGGCTTGTCTTGTGTACAGTGTTCTTCGCATTGACCACTTGGAACCCTTTCGGATGGTTCCCTGCCTGTGTGGCTGGTGTCGCGTCACCTAACCATGAAATATCGGAAGAATCCCTCTTTTATTTTGTATTTCCTCTAATATTTCGTTTTTATACTCTGAACTTTCAAGTGATTAGAATGAGAGGAAAAGATGGTTCTAATTCACTACATAATCAGCAGCTTTCATTCATATGAGTTAATAATACTTGCAGATACTAAGAATTATGGATTTCACGAATGCTTGGTGGGTCATTATTGATTAAAATGTAAACCCCCGCCCTGGCCGGTTTGGCTCAGCGGTTAGAGCGTCGGCCTGTGGTCCTGAGAGACCCGGGTTCGGTTCCCGCTAAGGGCATGTACCTCGGTTGCAGTTTGTCCCCGGCCCTGGTCGGTTGTGCGGGTGGCAGCCACTCGATGTGTTCCTTTCACGTCGATGTTTCTCTCTCTCTGTTCCTCTCTCTCCCTCCCACTCTACCTGAACAAAAAAATGGAAAAATGTCCTCGGGTGAGGATAAAAAAAAAAAAAAAAAAATGTAAACCCCTTTGTGCGTCCCCTTCCAGAAAAGGGTGTTTTCAGAACATCGCTGTCTTTATGGGAGATGGGACTGCAGTGGAGCTGAGAGATATGTTCCCATTTCGTACAGACTACAACCAGCTGTGGTCAGCATTTCCCCATCTGTCCCTCCGACAGCAGGCCTGGCTGCTCCTGCCTCTGACCAGGAGGTAGGAAGGAGGGCTGGTTACCTAACTTCCAACTTTAAATTCTGAAACATTTAAAAACTATAAAGACCACAAAAAACTGTCCTGTTGATACACAGTCAAGATTCAACCAAGGTCTTTTGCCATATTACTATATACTTCGGGTATTTTTCTTTTTTATTGACTTTAGAGAGGAAGGAAGAGAGAGAAGCATCGATGAGAGAGAACATCGATTGGCCGCCTCCTGCATGCCCCCCACTGGGGATCAGGCCTACAACCTGGGCATGTGCCCTGACTGGGAATCAAACCGGTGACCCCCCTGGTGCATGGGTCGATGCTCAACCACTGAGCCACACAGGCTGAGCTACTTTGAGTTTTTTTAAAGAAATAAAACATTACAGATACTACTAAACCATCCCTCGCCCCCAAGTTCAGCCCTTCTGTCACTTCTCTCCCCAAAGTAACTATTGTCCCTGGTTTGTGGCATTGTGTTGTCTTTTTATTTCATGTGTGTCTGTAAACTATATTGTTGCACACAGTAATATTAACCCAGATGGTATCTTACTATACACGGCCTTTTGCAACCTATTTTTACTCATTATTATTTTTTATATTTATCTGTGTTGATATATATATAGCTTTGGTTCATTTCTTTTAAATACCAAATTATACTTCACTCAGACTACACCACTTTCTCGACCCCCTGCAGTGGTGGCCAGGTGGTTCACACTTGCTCCTCCAGGCAGTGCTGCACAGCACCTGGAAGTCCTTGTGCCCTGGCAGGGCCTCTCTAGGGCCAGGAGGCGGAAATGTCATGTTACAGGCCACTTTCATCTTCAGCTTCGCTAAATGTTGTTAGACTGCTTCCCAGGGTGATTATACCACTTAGTATTTCCAGCATGTGAGAGTTCCTAGTTCTCGTCCTTGGTAACACTTCCTGTTACCAGACCTAATTTTTGTCTGTCTGATTGTATGAAATTGTGTATTTTTGTTTTACACTAATGATACTGAATTTTTTTTCATGTTTCTGTTGAACTTTTGATTTCTTCCTGTGATAATTGCCTGTTCATGTTCTTTGCCCATGTTTGTGTTGGAGCATTTGTCTTTCTGGTTGATTTGTAATTCTGTGCATAGCCTAGAAGGTGACCCGTAGCCGGCCTTTCCCAGGATGTGCTGCCCTTCCCCTTCATTTATCTTATATAGAAGCTTCGAGTTGAATGCAAACGAAGTTATGTCTTGTTTGTGTCTGTGACTGAGCCTCCTCACTGCTAGCAAATCCCATTTTCTTCTGTAAATCTTCCGTTGCTGTATATTTAGGTCTCTGGCTGGCTGGCTGGTTTTTATATGTGGATACAGCAGGAATGAGATATTTTTCCGTAGTCTCTGATGTCAGCAGCAGGTGTTGAGTCTCGTTCATCTTCTAGATGAAATGTGCCTCCGTGTGTACCTTGTAACTCCTCTGTAAATTGGTCTTATTCCTCTGTGTACACATGAACCCTCCTTCTGTCTGTCTCACCATCAACACCACATTCTTAATCAGTCTGACCTTGCTGGTAAATCTCACTGTCTGGTAAGACAGATTTTCCTCCTCTCCTTAGTCTTGGCAGTTACTTTGATTCCTAATAATTCTTTGTTCTTCTTTGCCTGGTTCACTTCCTAGCATTTGTTCTGTCCACACGTCTTTCTTTGTTCTCAGTCGCTTGAAGTTACCTGTGTTGTAGCCCTTTGTGACTGCTCCAGTGTCCAGGTGCCCTTGGTTTTTCTTCATGAAAACTTGTGGCTTGGATTGTAGGAGATCTATCCAAAGAGGATTTTATATTTGCCCCTGCCAGGAGCCACAGGTATAACAGTGGCTTGGAACAAGTTTTTATTTTTTTGTCATAGGGGTTTTTATGTGGGTCATAAAAATTTGAGGTGCAGGCCCACTGTTACAAATTCTCTGGGGAACCAGAGTACTTCTCTCCCCACTCCACACCCATACAGACACAACCACAATTCTTTGCCACTGAGGTGTTTTGCATTTTGCGTTTTCCCTGGTCCATCTTTTGCTTGAGATACCAGCCCTTTGAATGTCCTGGGTTTGTGCAGAGTGAAATGCGTGTTGGGCGTTAATTCCTTCTTCCTGTTCCAGTGGGTCCAAGACTTTCCTTCTGACCTGTGGGTTTTAAAATCCAAGCCCGTTTGTTGCGACGTGGTCCACCAGCCTCCCAGCTGCAGTAACTATGTTTTATTTCTGTCATTGGGTGACTTGATGTTTTTTGTGAACTCATCTGTACATTTAAAAGACTGTCTTACCTGTTACCTCAAGTATTTGTTGCAAGAAGGTTTTTAAGTTAAAATGTTCTCCAAACTGCCAAAATTGAATGTGAAAATAGTGTTAATCCTTTAAGCTGAAATTAAAGTTTTATAGAAATTGACAATCTTGGAAAAACATGGTCTTCATCCAGTCAAATATAATAATAATAATATCCTTTTGAAATTTGAGGTAGCTGTTGTTCACAAGAAACTAATTTTAAGGTTACTAGTTTTTGTTTGTTTGTTTGTTTGTTTTTTATCCTCACCCGAGGATACTTTTCCATTTTTTGTACAGATAGAGTGGGAGGGAGAGAGAGGAAGGGGGAGAGAGAGAGAAACATCGATGTGAAGGGACACATCGAGTGGCTGCCACCCTCACGACCAACCAGGGCCGGGGACAAACTGTAACTGAAGTACGTGCCCTTAGCGGGAACCGAACCCGGGTCTTTCCGGACCGCAGGCCGACGCTCCAACCGCTGAGCCAAACTGGCCAGGGCTAAGGTTACTAGTTTTTTGTTTGTTTGTTTTTTATCCTCATCCGAGAACATTTTTCCATTTTTTGTTCAGATTGAGTGGGAAGGAGAGAGAGAGAAACATAGATGTGAAAGGGACACATCGAGTGGCTGCCACCCGCACTACCCAACCAGGGCCGGGGGACAAACTGCAACTGAGGTATGTGCCCTTAGAGGGAACCGAACCCGGGTCTCTCTGGACTGCAGGCTGACGCTCTAACCGCTGAGCCAAACCGGCCAGGGCAAGGTTACTAGTTTTAATATACACTGATCTATTTTATTATTCAAAGGTAAGGACTGCAGACAGACATGTTAATCTCACAAGATACTCAGTAACTGTGCCTGAGGCAGTTGGCAGATGGAGAGCTGTCCTATCACCTGTATTGCTTAGGAAGAGCCCACTGAGGGAAAGTCGGTATAGCTGAAACATTTATCAGGTAGCTACCTTCCAGCTGTCTCTAAGGACAGGGAAGAAAAGAAAATGCCCGGTACGGGGAACATTTGTTAGGGTGGCCTCCGCTGATTGAGGAACATGGATCAATGGCTATTACCTGCCAGCCAGGTAGACAGCTCACTTTACCTCCTTGGGAGCAATAACGGAGCCAGAGGCCAGGATGTTTGATTGAAATCTTTCCTTGTGGAAGGAAAACAAGAGGGAATGGAGGACACATGTTCTTCCCCAACAATCTATATAGCCAGTATTTTGTCTGATGGAAAGAAGCAGGAGAGAATGTAAACAACATACACATAGGCTGTGAAACATACTCTGCTATATTCACAGTGGCTTTGATTTCCAACTTACACATAGAGGAATATATATATAATTAGATTTATGAGCATGCAGGGGGCGAAAGCAAGCCAACTACAATGTAAGTTTTGTAAAAGCTATTCTTAAATATGTAATTAAGGTTACTAGATAAATAAACATAGCTTACTGCTATTTAAACTTTGGATCTACTTAAATGAAAAGTCATTAATATTTCTTAGGAATAACTGGCCATTTCATATGCATTTTTTACAGCATTTAAGTTTTTTGTTTTTATTTCTTTTGTAGACTACCAAGAGAAATATCAAGAGTTGCTTGAAAGAGAAGACTTTTTTCCAGATTATGAAGAAAATGGAACAGATTTATCAGGGGCTGGTGATCCGTAAGTTCCTTTTACCTACTAACTTTATTTGTGAAATTTCTGTGGCCATAGTTTGTAGATAGAGTTTAGACTGGAAAAAAGGAGATAATGAAATGTACATTTTGATTTGTCAGTGTTATAGTGGTATATATGTAGTACTTATTTACCAAAATTATCTGGATAATCATGTTGGAAAACACACAAACTATGATTTTAAAAATGTACCTATAGTTGAAGGGAAAACTATTAAAATGTAGTATACTCAAGCATAATCCATTTTTATAAAATAGATTCTGTTACTGTACAGAAGACTTGAATATAAGTAGCTGTAATACTGTAAGATCTTGGGCAGGTTCTATGCCGGTTTCTCCATCTGTGCACTGGGAACAGTGGAGCCCCTCCTTGAGGTTTTTGAGAACTCAAGGAAAACACATAAATGCTCTGGCACATAGCCAAGGGCGCAGATCTTAGCTGTCAAAGGACAAATTAAAGTTAAAGAGAGCAAATTAATATATAACAATGTTTAGCCTGATGGGAAGATGTAAGTTACGGTCCTGTTCTCATATTTCAGGTCCTTTACCTACCTTTTTTTTTTTTTTTTTTTAATTTTTTTTTTTCTTTATTACTTTGAGAGAGAAAGGGAAAGGGAGGGAGAGAAACATCGATGAGAGAGAGAACATCAATCAGCCAGCCACCTGCGTATACCCCCCACTGGGGATCGGGCCCACAACCTGAGCATGGGCCCTGCCCAGGAATCGAAATGGTGAGCTCTTGGTGCACGGGTCAACACTCAACCACTGAGCCACACCGGCTGGGCTTACCTGCCATTCTTGATAATAAAAGAAATTTTTATTTCTCACTCACCATCAGATTTAACTACATTTTGTTACAGAAGGATGAAAAACTTGGGAGGATTAGTCCTACCTCTGTTAACAGCTTATATGAATTTGGACAAGCTGCTTGGGTTCTCTTCCTAGTAGCAGGAGGAGTAAATTAAATCTATGCCTTCAATTTTTCTTACATGTCCTTTCGCAGGTGTGTTATAGGTTTAAAAAAGTGAACCACCTTTATTCTCGCCTATCTAGTGACATTTTCATTATAAGTCAGTTTGAGATCTTCTAATATAATACTATCATGCTTTTTAAAAAATAGTTTAATAGGAAAACATACAAGGATGTAAGGACCAAACCAGTTAGGAAAAAGTTCAACCCTGCCGGGCGAACTGCTGAAGTTCAAGTTGTTCTTGGTATTAAGATTATAGTAGTACCTAGTCTTTTTAAGGTGACTATGGGAATTCAGTAAGGATGAATATATTAAGGCCTTCATGGGCACTTAAGTATTGAAAACCTTGTTTTCCATCATTTTAAACTACTGAATACTTGCAAAAAATCTGAAATAGATAATCTCAAAAGTAGCTTCTTACTACGAAAGTGTGATTCCAAATAGATTATGACTAAGTTGTCATTGCAGGAACACCGTGTCTGACATTATATTCTAATTACAGTATAATTGTTGATAAGCTAAATTTATGAAATTAATATCAATCTTGAGCGCTCAGGTTTTATACGTAAAGCCTTTAACTTTTAGATTAGGTTAAAGAATGTAACATATTTCATGTATAGCAGACTCAACTTCAAATACAAGGGACTCAGAATCCACTGTAAGATGTAACACACCATACTGAGCATTTGTTTTCTGAGGACTGACATTTAATGTAACTCTAAACAGCACTTGCATTCTATTATAACTCAGTCTAGGAAAGTTATATCAGATACTTTTTCTCATGGTTAGACGTTTTCTGCATTGAAAAACATTAAACTTATGTGTCATCTTTGCTTCTTTCTCAGATACTTGGATGATATTGATGATGAGATGGACCCAGAGATAGAAGAGGCTTATGAAAAGTTTTGTTTGGAATCAGAGCGTAAGAGAAAACAGTGAAGTTAAATTTCAGCGTATCAGTTTTATAAAGCAGTTTAGGTTGTGATTTAGCAGAACACAGGAAAGCAAGAAAATGTGTCACACTTATACCAAATTAAGGATGTTGAGTTATGTTACTAATGTATGCAACTTTAATTTTGTTTAACACTCTCTGCCAAAATAAACTTTATTCCCTATAACTTAAAATGTGTATATATATAAAATAGTTTATTATGTACAGTTAATTCCACTGTTTTGGCTGCAATAAAGTCGATTTTGAAATAAATGAAATGTTGAAAGTAAATTTTGCTAGCTGGTTTAGAAGCTTATCCTTTAAATTCGGTTTTTCTTGAGAGAAAAAGTCTTAGACTGGAAATACATATTACTGCAAAAATGTAGCATCCTTTTTCTAGATATGAGAATATGAGTATATAACTTTCATTTAGTTTTACATGTAGTGTCTCGAATTGGGTTTCAAGTATGAGGCACAATCATAAATATCTCTGGCACTAACGTCTTAGAATATATCATTAACTGATTTACATATCCAGATGTTATTTGATACCAAGGGCTTTTAAAATAAAGAGTTAGAACTCCCGACTATACCACCAAGATTGTTCACTGAGGATTTATTGCAATTCTAAATTTTTTTTTCACCTAACTTCATTATCTAAAAGCCTAGGATATTATTCTGCTTTATTTGTGTGGCTTTCTCATTTTTATTTAGTGGCATGAGTTGCATTGACTTTTTTACTAGAGAATTTTGCTAGATCTTTGTCACTCAAGTTTTCATCTGCTTTATAATTGACACACCTTGAGGATCACTTTTCTAATACTTTTACTATAATGTGGTACCACCTCAGTCCTATTTTTACCTAATGTCAAATCTTTTTCCAACTAACTAAAAGTAACACTTATGTACGAAAGGACTGCTTGTAACTATGCAGTAAGTAGTTCTGTTGATAACCCACTGTTTCACATTTGGTACCTGTGTCTGCTACTCCAGTTAGCTTTCTCACTTTTCTGCTTGTTTGTTTGGTCTGGATTAAAATTAGACTTTGAAAATAAAATTGAAATAGTTTTGTTTTCTCTAAGTTTTCGGAGTGGTATCCTGGTATTTTAAAGAATTTGTGTTGAACTTTTTTATGACATAAAATTGTGGTTTGAAATCAGAGAAACTACTAATCTAGAAGATAACTATCCAGTGTCTGTTGAATAAAGAATTCAGTTCAGTAACAAGTCTAGTTGGAAAAAGTAGCAACTGAAATATTAAAACTTTTAGATTCTTTTTTTTTTTTTTTTTAATCCTCACCCGAGGACATTTTTTTGTTCAGGTAGAGTGGGAGGGAGAGAGAGAGAAAGAAACATTGATGTGAAAGGAACACATCGAGTGGCTGCCACCCGCACGACCGACCAGGGCCGGGGACAAACCGCAACTGAGGTACGTGCCCTTAGCGGGAACCGAACCCGGGTCTCTCTAGACCGCAGGCCGACGCTCTAACCGCTGAGCCAAACCGGCCAGGGCAAAACTTTTAGATTCTTAAAGGGAAGTATACAGGGTAGAGCTAAACAGGTTTACAGTTGTTCCTGTGGAAAATAATACAATAACAGTTTCTCGTATTATTACTTGTTTCACGTACTTTCAACTGTAAACCTACTTTTACCCCACCCTGTATATGCAGTTGGGGTTTTTGGAAATTGTAATACTAGTCAGAACTACTTTTTTCAGAGTGGCTCCTGTAACCATTAATCTGCAGCTCTGTAGAGAGTGTGCTCAGTGTTGATTTCAGGGGCAGTGGAAGTGTGGGGAAGGGCCAGGACGTTAGCCCAGGGCCAGTATATGCTGAGTACTTTAAACTTACAGCATTTGCTCTGTGATAACATCCAGGTTTGTCCATAGCTCACTGTCGTCTACCCGTGCTCTCCTCATAAAAGCCTTCAACAGGGTCAGTATATGTTCCAGTTGCTGGTGCTGCTTTAAAAATCACCCAAACTTCGTGTCTTCATACAGTAAGCGTTTTCTTACACTCATGGGTCCTGCTGCCCCGGAATTTGGACAGAGCACGATAGGAATGGCTTTTCTCTCTACAGTGTTGGAGGCCTCAGCTGAGAAAACTAAGGCCTGGGGCTGTCCGCCTTTGGGGGCTGTCGTCACTCACACGGCTGATGGATGACTGGAGGTGACTTGAAGGTACCACTTCTCACACATGGTAGCTGGATTGGGGGTGGGGAGGGCTTCCAGAAGCTGCAGGCTGCATTACCGCCCCTGTTGTCTCTTGGTCCAGGTGCCAAGGCCACATATCAAATAGGCCATCAAGGAATGTGTGGCCATGCTTTAACCGCAGCAGTACATAACTAAAGGAAAACGGTCCTGTCCATGACTGCTGGCCATGGGGATTGCCCCGTCTTCAGAGAAACGTGGGTCAGAAAGTCTCCAGTGAGCAAGGACACAGGTGCCAGTGAGCCACAGTCTTCTGGCAAGAAAGTGCAAATAACTGGTCTGAATCTGGTGGTCATGTCATCACCTCAGACGCTCTGTTTTCAGTGCCAGAGATGACCAGGAACACGCCTGTCCCTGAACATGCTGGGTCACGGAGTAAGGTGGAATATACACCATGGGGAACTGGGCTGTGTCGGTAAGAGGTGTGAGAAACAACCTATTACAGGATTTGGGCTTTGGTTGAATTTGAGAGAGGGTGTAAGAAACGAGGTTTACTCCAGATGTTAACAGAAAGCAGGGGCAATTCTATGACTGGGTATCATATTAAATCTTACTGGGGACAGATAGGTGTAGATTAGGATGTTTGTTTTTAAATCACATTTAGCAAGAGAGGAGGATGCTTGGTTTGGTACAAAAGGGAAAACTCCAGAACTGAAGGACTGGAAATTGGCTGAAACTAAAGGAAAAAGAAAAAGACAAGCTAACACCTCCTTACTCTGGTGGAAATACTTCCTCAGCCCAGGTTAGGTGTACGGACTGCACGCCGTCCGGACCTCTGCATTTTATTGCTGGAACACTTACCCCAATCTGATCAAATCACTGTCTAGTCGTTTCCTTCCGGCTGACCTAGCTGCATCCTGGGCCCTGCGCCCCGGCCCGCCTCCCCCGGGCCCCGCACACAGCCGCGCTCCATCAGGACGTAAATGACGTAAATGGCGCACACCAGAGCGGTCGGGTCTGCGTGCCATTTGAGAACACGGTGCACGTACCCGGCTGAAGGACATTTTCTGACAGCAAAGTAGGAGGAGGAAAAGTTCCCCAACAGCTTTATTGAGCTAACTGTCGTTCAGACCCCTTGACGAGCGCCGCTGCACCGACACCCGGCCGCGCGGCGGGCTCCCCGGGACCGGCGACGGCTCGTCCCCACCGGCGACGTCACAGCCAGATCCGACTGGTTCTGTGCGGGCGACCGGAAACAAACCCCACACGGAGTCGACCAGATTGTGGATTGGAACGCTCCCACTTCCGGCCCGCTCCTGCCGGAAGCACGAGGGGGCGTGGCCAGGGTGGGACTTCCGGTCTTTCTGTTTCCGGAAATGGAAGCCGTTTCCTCAGGGGGCGGGAAGGTTTGAATCCCTGTTGTTTGCCTGTATTTTCTTCCCTGGGTCGTTGCTGGCTCGGCTCTGACGAACGCGTGGTCCAAAACGCTCTCCCTGCGGTTGTGATTGTTTTCTTTTATCGAGGAACATTGCTTGTTAAACTTAAGAAAAATTCCTCGGGAAGTAGTCGTGGGCAGGCGCAGAGGCTGCGGTTCCAGCATTTTGGCAAATTAAAGCACAAAGGCTGTTGATGGGCCTCGTTTCCACGACTTTCCAGCCCCGAACTGCTATGTGAGTTCAAAATGTTGGTTGCTTTGGTGAACTTTTCATTGTAACTGGATATGGCATTTCGAAAAATCAGGTTCCCGTCGATGTCAAGAACAGACTTGTGGCTTTTTGATCGTTATGCTGCGTGTTGGGAACACAAACAGGAAGGAGTAAGACTGACAGTTGTGGCTGGAAATGTGGACTGGGGCGGATTTATGATGCGCCAGGAACTTTAGACATTCTACTGTTTCTTGTGTACGCTTCTTATTAAAGTAAAAAAATAAACAATTATATCTCAGTAAGCTGTTTATAAAAAGATAACTTGGCCAAAAATAGAGACCTTTTCCCAATTGGTATCAGAAAAACGTTTGTATTTGCACCTGTTTTTTGTTTGTTTTCTGAAATAGCAAGAAGACAGCATATATATGGCTATGAGTATATGTTGCCACTTAACAAGTATGTAAACAAGTGGTGTGAAGTGGTTGGTATGGTCTGGGTTATGGAAAGTTACCTATGATAGCAGTACTGGAAATGGAGTGGAGAGGGAAGAAGCTGAAAAAATGCCCCAGGTAGTTACAGGAATTGATTAAAGGGAGAGTTGATGGCCTGAATTATAAAAGGAGGAGCCAGGTTCACGAGAGAGCCAAAATCAACAGGACTTGTTACAAGAGTGTGGAGGGAACCAGAATGAAAAGTTAAATATTGCTAACATTGAGATGCCATTAACTCAAATTGCAGATTCAAGAAAAGCAAGAATTTTTAAATTTACTTATTCTTTTATCATTAAGTAAATATTTGTTGCACCCTTATTATTTGCCAAGTAGTGTTTTATTTTATTTTTTTTTAATCCTCACCTGAGGACATTTTGCCATTTTTTGTTCAGATAGAGTGGGAGGGGGAGAGAGAGAGAGAAACATCGACGTGATAGGGACACATCCAGTGGCTGCCACCGCACAACCCAACCAGGGCCAGGGACAAACTGCAACCGAGGTACATGCCCTTAGCAGGAACCAAACCTGGGTTTCTCTAAATCACAGGCCGGCGCTCTAACCGCTGAGCCAAACTGGCCAGGGCACCAAGTATTGTTTTATTTATTTATTTTTTAGATGAGATTAACATTTATTTATTTTTATTTTTTTATTAATTTTTGTTACAGATGTTTCTCCTTTTCCCCCCACTGATTCCCCCCTCACCCCCCGCCCTGTCCCCAGCTTTGTTGTCCATGTCCATTGTTCATGCACACATGCATATAAGTTCTGTGGTTTATCTCTCCCCCACCACCCCCTCTTCTGGGGATTGTCAGTCTGTACCCCACTTCCACGTCTCTGGGACCACCCTGCTCCTCAGACTGTTATGTTCATTATATTCCACAAATAAGTGAGATCATATGATACTTGTCTTTCTCTGTTTGGCTTGTTTCACTTAGGATGATACTTTCTAGGTCCCTCCATGTAGTCTCAAAGGATAAGAGATCTTTCTTTCTTACAGCTGCATAGTACTCCATTGTGTGTATGTACCACAGCTTTTTGATCCATTCGTCTACTGATGGACACTTGGGCTGTTTCCAGATCTTAGCTATTGTAAATAGTGCCGCTACGAACATGGGGGTACATATATTCTTTCTGATTGGTGTTTCAGGCTTCTTAGGGTATATTCCTAGAAGTGGGATCACTGGGTCAAATGGAAGTTCAATTTGTAATTTTTTGAGGTAATACCATATTGTTTTCCACAGTGGCTGCACCAGTCTGCATTCCCACCAGCAGTGTACTAGAGTCCCCTTTTCTCCACACCCTGCCAACACTTGTTGTTTGATGATTCGTTGATGGTGGCCATTCTGACAGGTGTGGTGATACCTCATTGCCAAGTATTGTTTTAGATGCCAGGGATACAGTTGTGAATAAGACAAATAAAGTCTCTGTTCTGATTGAGTTTATATCCTAGTTGGAAAAGACAAAAAACGAGTACGTAAACAGAATCAGTTCTGACAGAGATAGATGCCATGAAGGAAGAAGACATAGATACAAAGTGACTGGGAGATAGTTGGGAGCAGCTTTAATTGAAATGGTCAAGTCAGGTCTTTGAAGAAGTGACATTTGTGCTGAGATCTTAATGGTGACAAAGAGCTAGCCATGTGATGATCCAGGAAAAGGACATGCTAGGCAGGAAGAACAGTGCAGAGGTTCTGGGATGGGAAATAGCTAGGTGAAAAAAACATTGAAAAGGCCAATGGAGCTAAAGTGTCCTGAACAAGGACAAGAGAGTTAGGAGATGACATTTTGACAGGTATAGGGGGACAGATTGTGTGGCTTAGCTTAGGCCATAGTTAGGAATTTGGATTTTATTCTAAGTGCAAATGGTAGGTTATGAGCCAGGGAGTGATAAATCTCATTTTTATTTTAAAAGATCCCTCTGGCCCTGGCCGGTTTGGCTCAGCGGTTAGAGCGTCCGCCTGCAGTCCGGAGAGACCCGGGTTCGGTTCCCGCTAAGGGCATGTACCTCGGTTGCAGTTTGTCCCTGGCCCTGGTTGGTCGTGCGGGTGGAAGCCACTCGATGTGTCCCTTCACATCGATGTTTTCCTCTCTCTCTCTTCCTCTCTCTCCCTCCCACTCTATCTGAACAAAAAATGGAAAAATGTCCTCGGGTGAGGATAAAAATAAATAAATAAATAAATAAATAAATAAATAAATAAATAAATAAAAGATCCCTCTGGCCACTGTATGTAGACTGGATTTAAGGGAGGTAAGAGTGAAAGTGAAATTAGAGGATTAGATGAAGATACAGGGTCATTTTACAGGTGGAGAAGAGGACATTGAAACGAGCGAGATGAGGCTGAATTAAGGCCTAGGAGATTAATCAGCTTGCCCAGTAGTGACATGAAGACACTTCCTTAATGCCAGGCTAGGGACAAGAATCCAAGTGTTCTTTTCTTTTAAGCCTAATAGTTTGGGCCTATCTTTTGCATGTATTAAAAATGATTTGCTGTATTCTATTGTAAAAGTGGAATTTTCTTGTTATTTGAAATGAGATACTTAGGGTATAATTATCTGATATTGAACTTCAGGAGAAATAAAGCTACTAAAATTATAAAGGCAGTTAGTTATAACTTGGTGGGCTGTCTTCTTCCTCTGGGTTATGTTTCCACCCTGGAGTAAAGCCATGGGGGTTAATCAAGACATTCTGTTCAGGATAATCACTTTTCCTCCAAAAAAAGTAAATGCAATGGCAATGTTTTACTTATGTTCTTAGAAATTGCATCAGCTTATTTTGATAGAACTTTTGTATATTAAGAGAACTGTTTGTGCTACTGTGTTTCCTATTTCCTTCAGTCTTTGCCTTGGAAGGACATTCTGTCCATAGTCACAGTGATGATGGCGGAAGTGCGAATGGTACTTTATGAAGACGATTCAGTGCACGTGCAGTATGTCGATGGTTCCAGACTGCAGGTTTCTCCCTGTGGCTCTGAATTTTTATTTGAAAAGGCACTACCTGTTTCAGCACATCCTTTAGAACAACCAGAAAGAATTCGTCAAAGGACACACTTTGTTATTAGCACTTTCCGAGTAAGTAAAGATGACACAAACACTACTCTTTTTAATACCAAAGTGATGTTGAGGTGGCCAGAATATGGAACGTAATTAGGATGCTGGATTGCTGTCATACTCATTGGATTTCCTATCATTTTTTAAGATTGCATTTGTATCTCTTTGTAGGAGCAACTACAGCGAGCCCTAGATTTTCGAAACTCTTTCGCCGCTTGCCCTTTTTTATCTGAAAGCATTATCCCCTCTGAAAGAAAAAAGGTAACTTCTTAAACCTCATTTTTGTGAGTAAGATTTGTAGACAAGTAATTAGAAATAGGTAGTTGAATATTTAGTCTTTTTCTTCATGACACGGGAATAGATACGTTGCTGTAGAATGAATAGGCATTTATATTTCACCAGATTAGGGAGTTTTCATGTTTTGTATATTGACTGAGACACAGAAGTTACATAATCCACTACCCTGTCTTTTTCTTTGTAGCCAAGGATTATACACAGCTTTTCAGAATGGTGACTTTTTTATTTTTGGAGGTGTGAAAATTAAGAAATTATGTGGACATATTTAGTAGCTTATCTGTTGTTATCTGTTAATGTGTAAAAGAGATGTGTAATTACTTATGGGTATACAAATTTTATTTGTTTGCTTATATTTTATTTTGAACTTTTAGGAATAATAATAATAACTGATTTATAGAGGGTTTACTATTTGCTAAGAACTGGGAGTGATATTAACAATATTTAATAGCTCTGGTATGCCTTGGATACCTGCTGGTGAAAATGAGTGTCTAAGCAGTCAGGAAAGGTATGTTGGCTGAATGTCAGCTCCTTTTTACAGGGGAGAGAACTAAGTCTCAGGGAGTTTACCTAATTTGTCCATAGAAATTTTCTTAGTGGCAAAGGTCAGGATTTGAACCTAGTCTGTCTGACTCTGCAGACTGTGTCTATTAACCACTTTCCGCTACTGTCTCGATGCTTGCCTATTGAGTGATTTTCTGTTACACCGTCTCAAGACAAAGAAGCCATGGAAAACTAAGCTGTGACTTGGTCTACAAGGCTGTTTTCCCTCTGTGTCTTTTGAGTAATTTTAGTCATTGAAATTGCATATCTTGCTGCTGATGCTACAGTAGGATTATCAGATAGTCTAATTCTAGAAGACGGAACTTTCTGAGCCAATCATCCTTATAACCCAGCTTTGCCGTCAATGAATACTGTTTTTAAATTTAGTGTACTAACATAGCACTGTAAATTTAAGAGGATTTCTTGACAATGGTTCTTGTAAATTTAAAGTTTTATGTAAACGGAAGTTGAAATGTTTAGCTGTTGGCCAGATAAACTGATTCAAAGACTGTTATGTGCCCGGTTGGTGTGGCTCAATGGTTGAACGTTGACTCATGCACCAGGAGGTCACCAGTTTGATTCCCAGCCAGGGCACATGCCCAGGTTGTGGGCCCAATCCCCAGTGAGGGGCATGCAGGAGGCGGCTAATCAATGATCTCTCTCATTGATGCTTCTCTCTCTCTCTCTCTCAAATCAATAAAGAAAAAAAAATTATTAAAAAAAGACTGTTGTCTGGCCAGTGTAACTTAGTGGTTGAGTGTTGACCCATGCACCAAGAGGTTGCCAATTTGATTCCCAGTCAGGAAATAAACCCAGGTTGTGGGCCCGATCCCCAGTGGGGAGCATGCAAAAGGTGGCCAATCGATGTTCTCTCTCATCAATGTTTCTCTCTCTCTCTAAAATCAATAAAGGAAAAAAAACAAACAAAAAAAGAGGCTGTTATGTGACACGTGCTGTTTCTATCTTATATGAAACAATGCATTGGGCACTGTTACGCCTGTCACAAATCTGTTTGCTGTTGGTCAGTATCCATTTACCTTTGAGTAATTCAGTTTTAAAAATGTTACTCTTTAAGTCACCTGGAATTTATTTTAGTGTATGATGTGCCAGGTGCTACCTAGGTACTTTAGTCCAGGTCATAACCCTTTGAGATAATATTTCCCAAGTGCTATTCAATAATCCAGTACCATTGTTAAATAATTCTCCCTTTCTGCTCTTGTCTTGAAAACCTGATGTTATCACTTGTAACATTTTAACATATATATAGTCTGTTTCTGTATTCTCTGAGTTGTTCTGTCAATGATTTTTATGCTAGTTTCATACCATTTAAGTTATAATTACTTTTAATATAGTACATTATAATGCTATAGTCATTTATAGTCTTTTTTAGATAGACTTTTGGGAGGGACTCAAAATCTGTCTCTGATTTATTGTACATTTAAAAATATATCTAACACAAAATATAATCAGGATGATTTTCTTCTTTTTTTCTCTTATTTTTTTTTTTTGTTTTACCTCTCTTCAAGAGATCATCTTAACATATCAAATATTCTGTGGAAAACCACAGAGAGGCTGATACCTGGCTCTCCTTTCCCGTTCTCTGTAGGTGGTAAGACACGAAACTGAAGAGCTCACACAATGTGCATGTATCAAATGTATGGAAAATTTGGTCAGTTAACAGCAAGTGCTGCCCATCTCTTTTTTTGTTTCCCCTCAGTGTGTGTTCCTCGACATCCCAGAAGTGAGGTGGCCCAGCCTCAATACTGCTGATGGCACGAGATGCGAGCGGGACGGCACCGTGAAGATCCCATCTCTGGATGGCCACGCCTACCTTTGTCTGCCCAAATCTCAGCCGGAATTTACAGTACATTTCTTGTGTAAAGTAAGCCAGAAGCCAGACTCATCTGTAGTATTGTCAGAAAGAAATTATCAAGCCAAAAAAAAACAACTAGTTGAAAAAGCAAGCAAAATCCTTACATGTGGAAACCTACCAGGACAGAGGCTGAAGAATAAAGAAAATGAACTTCACTGTCAGATCGCGAAATCCAAAGAACCCTCCGAGAAGAAGCGCTGTGTGACTGGAACTGAGGGGACGGAGGCTCTGCCTTGGCCTGGTGCCAAGCACACTTTTGTACACGCGTGGGTGGAACAGCACTGGTCTCTGGCCTCCTGTCCAGAGGAATGGAAATACCCCCTGTCTTTAGCACTTGGTTTTCGTAATAAAATCAGCAATACATCTGGAACTGATGTCAATATCACTCAGAATACAGTTTTAACTCCTGCTGTTTCAGAGGAAAGAGAAAAAGAGGTTTCTGTTCTTCCCAAGGCCCTGCCACTCAGCTGTCCTGTCCCACACCTGCACAGGTAAGGATGACTTCCTTGTCATAAAGCTTTCGTCAGAACCAGTCCTCCTATGGGTAATTTTTCTTTCTAAATCATCTGATACCATTCAAGTTCATTCAGTTGATCCAAACTTTGTTTAAAACCAATATAAATCATTTTGCTAGCATATGTATTGTTTATGTTTCTTAACTCTGGGTCCATGGAATGAATGTTTATGGAAGGCTGACTGTACACTAGATACCATGGCACAGACACCAGAGTGATGACTAAGACACAGTCCCTGGTTTCTAGGAGTGTAAAGTCTAGGGAGGGTCCCTGTTACTGAAAAGATTACTCAAGTGCAGTGAGGGATGGCCCAGCGACCTGCATGGCGCTCTGGGAGTGTCTGCTGCCACTCAGGGGAGCCTGTGCCCTTGGTTGCCGGAGTGTAGCTGTGACAAGTTTATGATCATGGGTTCTTTCTTTCACACCTGCCTCAGAGTCCATCCCTGTCTTTGCTTGACTGTAATTATGTCCATTGTCTACAGGGGTGAATATGGAGAGGCTTCTGGATGGCTAGGTAAAGGCCTCTGACCGCCACTAAGATGAATAACTGATGGCGATAGATTAGTGATGTGACCTTGGCATAAGCTGTGCAGTAGTGACGGCAGTGGCTAACGTCAAGCGCTCACGTGCCAGGCTCGTTGTACTTGTTTACCTGTTTCATCCCCATGGTAACCCATGAAATAAGTCCTGCCTTTCATCCTCCCATTTTGTGGAGGAACTTGAGACACAGAAGTGTTACATAACCTGAGCAAAGTTACACAGCTAGTACTTGCAGAGTTAGTATTTGATCCCGGGTAGTCTCTGCGTACACATTTGTTATTTAAACACAATATTGGAATGGTTTTCAGACTTGTCATGATTATCTAGTTAAGATAAGAAAATCCAGTATTATAAGTATACATCAAAAGAGATTAATGCTTCTAAAGCAACAGTTTTTCAATAACTTGCCACTCACTTTAGACTGAAATCCATTATCCTTAAACATGTCTTAATCAGCTTGTATTTTCTGGTCCCTTATCTGTAGTCCTCCACTCTGGCTGAACTAGAAATCCTTGCAGACCCTGGAAAACTTGCTCAAACTATCTTCCACCACTGCACCCACTCTCTTCTACCAGGAACACGCCTGGTAACTCATGTTCATGTCTAGGTCTCTGTGTGAGACTTACTTCCTGAGAGTGGTTACTCCGCAGCCCCCAGACAGGACACGGTTCTTACACAGTCCTGTAGCATTCAGCAGTTCCCCTTTCTTTCGCTCAGTGTTTACTATCTAACATCACAGCAACCATGTTTGCTTTTTTGGGGGTGTTATATCCCCAGTGTATACACAGTGTATGACCCACCATACATACGTCAGTAAATATTTGTTGTTTGAGTCCTGAATGCTAAATTTTAAAGATTAGTAAGATGGTTAATTTAGGTAATTGTGCTAAGATGCAATAATGAGGTTATTGAAAATACATGAAAAATAAGACTCATTTGAAAATTTAATTTAATATACTTTCATATTAATTTTCACTTTTTTTGATCTAATGACTTAAGCAAGAAATAAATTGTTACAATAGCACTATTTTTGACTTCTCACAGTAGTTATGTTGAGCAACCAGAATCAATAACTTGTATTTTATTCTTCACAGGTGGAATTTTTGTGATTCACTTTCACAGGGACAGTCTGATGAAGAATATTCCTATCCTGAACTAGTGAAAGTGGTTTGGTGCAAGGGTATTACATATAGGTACGGGACCTGTTCGTGTTGGAGATGGAGCTATTTAGTGATGTCACAGGGGATGGGACTAGCCTTGCAGATAAACTACAAGAGGATACAGTTTTGTGGGGGCCACCTGTGTTTGGTCCTGAGGTTTAGGTCTCAACACCTAATTTGTATTAGGGCACACAGGGGTCTTGTTTCTAATTCACATTAACCGTATTCGCAAGATTTTTGTGACAGCCCCAAAGCCAGTGAGGGATTAGTTCTGCTAGTGAATGAGAATCTCTTGTCAGCTGTTTAGGACACCCCTTCCAAGCATGGGGGATCTAGCTCTCTGAATTTGTCACATCAGAAGGTCGTCTGGTGAGCATGGAGTCAGAAAAGTTAGATAGCCTAAGGGAGATGTCAGCCGGCGTTCACTCAGCAAACATTCACTGAGCGGCTGCGCTGTGCCGTACTATCCATCGAATCACCCTGCCTGTCTAGTGACTGGAACACTAGTGTCGCCTGATCAGAGGGTCACCCGTAAACAGTGCTAGAAGAGTCCTGTGGATTGTTTGTTCTCGGCCTCTCCTTCTCGCGTGAGGACCCTCGCTCTGACTACATATTCCTCACATGTGTTTCCGTAAGACTGACTTGACTCACATCTTTATTCCTTGTATACCCACCCAGTACCTTGATTGTACCTGGATTCTCCGGGTTCAGTCAGTCACCTTCTCTTAGGGGTGGTTCCTTCTACACATGGTTAATCTCACCCATCAGGTATTGATCCTGCTGGTTTCATCATTAAAGAATAATCTGATTTTCAGGTCCCAGAGTTGTGACATTTAACTCCTGTGCAATAAGCATTGCTTTGGTGACCATTCTGCACCAGCCTTTGATCAGCAGTGGGGGTGACAAGACAAGGAGCTGAGCTTAGTTACTGAAGTTCATACAGCAGGATTTTTGGGTGCTATTTGTTTTTTTACAAAAAAAAGTTAATTTAGCTGGCAGAGTATGAAATTATACAGCCCTGGCCAGTTTGGCTCAGTGGTTGGAACACCGGCCCACGGACTCAATTCTGGACAAGGGCACATGCCTTGGTTGTGGTTTGTCCCAGGCCCTGGTCAGGGTCGTGTGGGAGGCAACCAGTCAATGAGTCTATCTCACATGTTTCTCTCTCTCTCTCCTTCCCTCCCTCTGCCTCCCTCCCATGCTATCTGAAGATAAATAGAAAAATATCCTCGGGGGAGGATTAAAAAAAAGAAAAATTATCCATTTGCTAGATAGGTAAAAAAAATCATACTTGTTTGCCTTTTTTTGTTGTCGGATAACTGACTTCATGTATGTTTTAATTTCAATTAGAATATTTTTTTAAATGATTATTTCTTTTCTTTAGACTTACCCATAAAAATGTGAACTCAATAGAGATTTTTCCTGGAGATGGATCTGTTTTCAAATCAGAAGGAGCTTATTTTGGGAACTATTTTACACATTATTCCATTCAAGAAGGATCAGAAGAGGTAAGCTGATAATGAGGTCTCGACTCAAGATTTTGGATATATAGCTGTTTCCAAATAATTATGAATAAATGGGAAATTCTATCTTTTTTATAACATTTCTTGCTACTACTTAGTCTGAACAAGCAATATAATCTTAACTGCCAGCTAGCATGAGCACAGTAACTATTAAGCACCTGATTTTTACTGTATTCTCATCCTATATTCTGTCTTCCATTTGCCTAAGCAATTGTGTTTAAAGCAGAAGTTACAGCCCTGGCCGATTTGGCTCAGCGGTTAGAGCATTGGCCTGCGGTCTGGAGAGACCCGGGTTCGGTTCCTGCTAAGGGCACGTACTTCGGTTGCAGTTTGTCCCCGGCCCTGGTCGGTCGTGTGGGTGGCAGCCACTCGATGTGTCCCTTTCACGTCGATGTTTCTCTCTCTCTCTCTCTCCCTCCCACTCTATCTGTACAAAAATTGCAAAAATGTCCTCGGGTGAGGATAAAAAAAAATTATAAAAAAAAAAAAAAAAAGAAGTTACATTTCTTCTATCATAGAATTTATCAATAGGAAACACTAAAATCAGCATGACTTTGAATCAGTATACTTTCTTGAATTAATATTTGCACATTAAAAAGCACATTCTGTTTTCCCTTAGCATGTATTGTTTGTGTATTTTAAATATCATTTAACTCCTAAATTTTTATATACAACTAGAAAGTTGAACAAGATTGTTTTCTGTTGTTGAAAACAGTGAAATATAACATAATATATTTAACATAGATCAAGATGTAATAATGTGGATATTTTGTTAATAACTCTTAATTTGCTTGTTCCCAGCCCAACATTTGACATCACCTTTTTATAGGTATCACCATAGTATCCCATGGATTTGCTTTGCAGGATGTAATACAATAAATTTGTTTTCTTTATTTTAGAATACGTAAGTGATAAGATTATCAGAGATGCTAGGGAGAAGAGTTAAAAATAGAGCAGATTTTTTTTAACTATGGAAAATTTCAAACATACACAAAGTAGAAAGACAAGTGTAACAGGCTTTCACCCAACTTGTTTTATCCATACTTCCCACTGCCCCCTTCACTCCCTGTTTACCTTTCATTCATAAGTATTTTAGTATATATTGGAACAGATTCCCTTCTGGGGTCTGTTTATAGGAAAATATTTATTCAATCAGTATTAATTGAACACTGCTAGGCATGTGTGCTATAGGATGAAGAGTTCCTGCCCTCACAGGCTCACAGTCCAGTAGTTAGGTAGGCAGACAAGCAGATGAAATGAAAGAGTGAACAGTAGTGTGTGTGTGTGTGTGTGTGTGTGCGCGCGCGCATATGTGCGTGTGGTACATGAGACAGTGGAGTAAAAGGCACACAGAGTGGGTGTGCATAGCTGCACTGCTGACTGCCATGTATCAGGAGTTCGCAAAACTACAAGGTGAACACAGTACATCTTCCTGGAGCTTCAGTCTCACTCAGAGGCGTTGGAGGAAGGGATGATAATTTTTATTTGGAAGCAAACAAATCATGGGAGTAAAAGCATGAGCTTTGGGGATAAAACACAAACTTCCAAACAAGTGTGCCTTTCTGGTGGGATTGTGCAGGCTTCATTCTCAGACCCCTGTGGAGTACCCTTGCAGTCTCCTCTGTCTGCCTGAGCCCTCTGTTCGGGATAAAATTGTTTGCTGCCTCCTTTGACCAGAATAAATCCTGGATGGGCTTAGGGGCTAAATGTGAGAACTCAAACATTAAAATTGTTAGAAAACAAAGAACAGTGTTTACAATCTTGGGGTAGGGACAGCCCTCTTAATAACAATCCAAAAAACTCCACAGAAGCCATAGAAGTTTGATAACCTTGAAATTTTCAAACTTATATTAAATTTTAAATATTTAACTTTTGTTAAATTAGATAAAGTCTAAAGGGCAGTTAAAGGTGTGGAAGAAAATATTCTATACTATAAACCAGTAATAAACCTCCTGTGGTTATGATAGACAAGGCAGTGTATATAGCCCATAATATTAGAAAACATGTTCAACTTGACTACTTGTATCAGGGAAATGCAAATTAAAATAACAAGGACATAAGAGTTTTCACTCTTCAACTTGTCAAAACCTTAAAAGTTTGACACTGTCCACTGCCGGCAGGAGTATGGGAAGAGGGGTGCTTTCACTGGGGGAGTGTGAATTGGTTCAGCCGTCACAGAGGCCAATTTAATAACGCCACACAAAGTGGGCCAGAAATTCTGCTTCTACGAATCTATCCTAGAAAAGCATTAGCATATGTATACAAAGAAGCATGGTCAAGAATGGAGATTGTGTCATTGTTAGTGGTAGCAAAAAGAGGAGCAAGCTAAATGTTCAACGGAAATGTGGTAAGCTTCAGTGACCAGATTACAGGAATGCTGTGCGGCAGTTAGAAAGAATGAGGAGAATGTGTGTACAGAAGAGAGACAGATATCAAAAGCTCTCCAAGACACATTGAGTGAAAAAAATAAAGTTGCATAAGAACATGTACAGTCCTGGCCGATTTGGCTCGGCAGTTAGAGCGTTGGCCTGAGGTCCAGAGAGACCTGGGTTCGGTTCCCGCTAAGGACACGTACCTTGGTTGCAGTTTGTCCCCGGCCCTGGTTGGTCGTGCGGGTGGCAGCCACTCGATGTGTCCCTTTCACATCAGTGTTTCTCTCTCTCTCCCTCCTACTCTATCTGAACAAAAAAAATGGAAAAAATGTCCTCAGGTGAGGATTAAAAAAAATTTTTTTAAAAAGAACATGTACAGTGAGCCCTGGCTGGTTTGGCTCAGTGGTTAGAGTGTCAACCTGCAGACAGGTGCTCACAATGTAAGTGCTTCTGTAGAGATAAGCACTTGTTTTGGGACCACATAAGAGGGGGCATCTGACCTAGTTTTGGCAACTCCAGAAACGCCCTCTGGAGGAAGACATGGCTAAGCTAGGCTCTGTGATTCTAAAGGAAGTTATACAAAAAGAGGGGTGGGGTCGGAGGAGCATTGCACTAGGGGGAACCCTTTACTTGCTCAACTGTCTGCATGGCTAACTTATTGTTAAATTTCTATTTAAATGTAAGCTTCTCAAGGAGGCTTTTCCTGATACCCAGATTAAAGGAGCTACCCATGTCACCCCCTGTCACAGTACCTCATTTTTTTTTCTTCATAGCACTGGATACTATGTGACCTTTTCTTACTGACTGATGTTTATTTACTAACTAACTTACACTAGAGGTAAGCCCTGGCTTGTTCAACATACTATGATTGCTAGTGTGTAGAATATTTAGATAAATGTCACCTGACTAGAGGCAAGTAGGGAGTTTCGAAAGAAATGAAAATGCTGTCCTAGCTGGTTTGGCTCAGCGGTTGGAATGTTGGACCGAGGACCAAAGAATCATGGGTTGGATTCTGATCAAGGGCACGTTTCTTGGTTGTGGTGTGATCCCCAGCCCTTGTCGGGGCTGTGCAGGAGGCAACCAATTGATGTGTCTCTCTCACATTGATGCTTCTCTCTCCCTCCCTGCCACTCTGTCGAAAAAGGAAAGAAATGAAAATGCTGTTGTTTAGTAGCTAGAACAGAGGTAGAATGTTGGAGGCTAGACCACTAAATTGGGCTAGCTCATAAATGGGGGGATGAGAGACCCTACTGCATTTGGGGAACCATGGAAGGATTTAAGTAGAGAAGTAACTTTAGATTTCTGTTAGACCATTTCAGAGGCAGATGGATGGGGGTGGGGAAAAGGAGGAACTTCAAGCTGTAGAACCAGCTAGAAGACATTTAGAGTAGTTCAGGGGAGAAGGTATGAGGGCTAGGAAGTGATAATGAGAGTGAAAAGATAGGAGTGGACATACACAAAAATATTAAGGAGACAGACTGATGAGATTGGGGATAAGGAAGAAATTGAAAATAATGCCAAAGTATTGAATAAATCAGTGAGTGTCAGTACCAGGCACTGTATTAAACCAACATTTTATCAAATCGAAGTTGTTATGTTGATGGCTGCCTGTTATCTTACCAGGATGTGTCCGTAGAAGATTTAAATTCTATTATATCTCAACCCATCTTCTTGATAGTGATTGTAAGACACTCTTAATTATAAGATGATTCCAGATTTCAGAGAGATTACATTGTAAAAAAAAAAATAAGTGTTTTAGAAGCACTGCACTAATAAATGCTGGGGATACAGAGGTGAGCAAAACAAATACAACCCCTACGAAGCTCCATTCTAGAGGGGAAGACACACTAGAAGTAAAAAACTAAATGAAAACCAAGAAGCAAGACTTGAGGGTACTGTGCTTGGGGACATAACTAGGGGGTTTCACCCTCTGTGGGACCTCCATGTAGCTTTCCTGAAATTGAAGGAAAAGTAGGACTTAGTCAGACGAAGGGAGGGAACCAAGTAGATGGAACAGCATATAATTGACATACCAGAGGTAAATACAAAGTAGAGAAGGAGAAAATGCAAATTTTGAAATGAAGATAATTCCATTTTTGACTTGCTGAAGTTGAGATGTCTGTAATAGTCAGGGGAGAAGCCCAGTAATAATTTAGATATTCAAGTCTACAGTCCAGGATAAAAGGGCAAAGACTTTTTTTGAGTATCTACTATATAGTAAATTCTTTTTTTTAATCCTCACCCAAGGATACTTTTCCATTTTTATTCAGACAGAGTAGGAGGGAGAGAGAAACATCGATGTTAGAGGGACACATCGACTGGTTGCCTCCCACACAACTCCAACCAGGGCCAGGATGAACCACAACCAAGGTACGTGCCCTTGACCGGAATCGAACCCACAACTCAATGGTCCAGGGGCCAGCGCTCTAACCGTTGAGCAAACTGGCCAGGGCTATATACTAAATTCTGATGATAAAGTATGGGCTGTACTTTTCAGCCCACAAGCCTGTTTCCTCAATCTAGCACATACTATTCAATAAGTGTTAGCTGTTGCTGTTAGAATCGTTACGAACATAGCTTTGAACCCTGTAGAAACAGCCCGGGAAGAAATCAGGAAGCAGAAGAGAAGGGTGGAGACTAGGCCTGGGAAACCAAGCATCACAGAGTCTGAGAAAGAGGAATTCAGAAGAATAACAATTTTTTTAAAATTCAAGAACTCAAGACTATAAATAATATTGTCTTCCACAAACTGTAGCAATAGTTATTCCATTAATAAAATAAAATGATAGATTCATTCAATTAAAATAATTTTTTTATGTTTAGTTTGATTTTCTTTTGGTCTAAAGGGAAAAGCTTATGGGCTGTTTCCTGCTAATATGTAGGAAAATTCGTTTCTAGCCATGCTCATTAAGTATAGCCAAGATTTAAATTGGACAGTAAGTTATAGGCTATGAGAGTATAACTTTTGAATAGAGGGGAAAATAGGAAAATGGAAAAGCATCTTAAAATACCTTTAGAAATACACCTTTTATGGCCTCTAAGTTAAAATAACTGCTTCCTTTGTCCCTATGTAAATACATATTTCAAAAAAAATTGGTAAGTAGTAAAGGCCAATGTTTATTAATGATATTTTTCATTTTACACAAATTTTCAGAGGGAAGAGAAAATGTACTCAGTAAATAATCTCCCTCCAGACAGACCAGGAAGTCTGTTCTCTGTGAGTTTTCTAATTAAACAGGCTACCAGGTAAGTTCTTCACGTTCAGCTGAATCAAGTGTTATGTGTCAGAACCTTGATACCTTTTCTGATGGTTAGGATAAGATTAAGAATTGGTAGTACAATGGAAATATATGTATTTTGTAAAATCCATCAACTTTTCTGGTCTCATCATGTATAAAATAAGGTAATCACTATATCATTAAAAGTGTACTTTTGTCTTTGAAATGTAAAGTGAGCCCTGGTCAGTTTGGCTCAGTGGTTAGAGCGTCGGCCTGCGGTCCAGAGAGACCCCAGTTCGGTTCCCACTAAGGGTATGTACCTGGGTTGCCATTTGTCCCCAGCCCTGATTGGTCGTGTAGGTGGCAGCCACTCGATGTGTCCCTTTCACGTCGATGTTTCTGTTTCTCTCTCTCTCTCTCTCTCGCTCTCGCTCTCGCTCTCGCTCTATCTGAACAAAAAATGGAAAAATGTCCTCAGGTAAGGATTTAAAAAAAAGAAATGTAAAGTGAAATGTGGAGAAACAGTTATATGTAGCAAGCAAGTGCTGGTAGGAAATAGGTGATTTCCTTGGGTAAATTTTGCATCATTATTATTTTTTTTTATTCTCACCTGAGGACATTTTTGCATTTATCCTCAGATAGAGCGAGAGAGAGAGAGAGAGAGAACATCGATGTGAGAGAGACACATTGAGTGGTTGCCACCCACACGACCCCAACCGGGGCCGGGGACAAACTGCAACCGAGGTGCGTGCCCTTAGCGGGAACCGAACCCGGGACTCTATGGTCGGCGGGCCAACTAACCGCTGAGCCAAACCAGCCAGGGCAAATTTTGCATCATTATTGTTCCCTGGAATCAAGTTGAGGATTTGATGATACATTTAAAAATTTCATACTTCTTTATTATCTTCAGAGTAATAAAGATTTCTGAATGTGTACAGAAGATGAAGTGTAGTTTGGTTCTTTGGTTCATATGTGTTTTTTTAATTCTCTTAATTCATTAATCTATAGCACTCAGAAGAATAAAAGTGGATTATTGGATTGAATGATTGATTTGTATAAACTATGTCTAAGCCAGTTCCAAAGTAGATTTGAAGGAGCAGATCTGTAATTTGATTTCCTGGAACATTGACATCCCACCACTCTTAGACTATGCTAACTAACCCTTTTAGGCATTGTGAATCTATCACAGTGCCTAAAAGGAGCATCTGAAAATTCTATTTAGAATCATTTCATTGCTATAGATTAGGGGAATTACGGTAAGTGGGTAAGATTAGCCAACGGGAAACAATAGCCCTTCTAAGAGCTTCGGGATTTCTGGAAGGAAATAGGTCTGGACATATTTCAGTGGAAATGAACCAGGTGACTGAGGTGTCATATGGCATTGAGAGTGGTTTCCTAGAATTGGAAAATGCCATTATTTGCAAATATTTAAGTTGTGTTTTTCATGTTCACAGGATTCTTCAGCATTGTGCCAAGATGAGGCTTTCTTTGAGTCATAACTATCGTATATGCTGCTGGAAAATGGTATCTTAAAAATCTTTCGAAACCGAGATATCTTTGTTTTTACTTTTTATTTTATACTACTAAGTTCAAATTACTTTTCATCTAAGCCATGTGAGAAATTCTTTGAACATTAATATTGATTTATTCAGAAAAATATCCACTTAATAAACACTACAAAACAAGGCTTTTATATTTTTGTTGTATATAGTTTTTGTTTCTTTTTTTAAAATGAAGTAGGAAGGCCATTGGAATTAGTTGAATTTGTATGTAAAGACATAGTTATTGTAAACACTGGTATTACAGTATTCTCTCTTTCCATACTGTAAAAGTATATTCACTGACTTGGAGGAAGTGATTCTCAGACTTTGATTTCTGTATCTATACTAATTTGGTTATGAACTTGAATGTTGCTGTAGTTCCTGGTTTTTGTCTATGTTCTATGTAAAGTTCAGAGCAGAATGGTGACTTGATCTGCTTGTATTAGACGTTGGGGCATCCACTTGTGGGAAAATTAAACATACATAAGGATTCTATAATATTCAACTGCTGCATGAGAACCTGAAAGTTGCCTCAGAGTTCATGAATCATTTCAGTCTTATCAATAGATAACTCTACTTCCTGCTATTTTTGTTTTAGGTACCTGGGATAAATGATAATATACTGCCATTGATTTTGAGAGAATCATTCATACCCAGTGTGGGAAGATTTCTTGCATATTCTGATGACAAAGTACATGTTATCTTTGTAGATGGCATTACTCTAACTCTAAATTGGAATTTTGACTCTTTTATTGAAAAGAGACAGGTGAGTATACTTCAGATTGAAATCTATTTTGTATTATTTTTTTTTAATCTGTGGAAATACTGTGGTACTTTTTTGTTGTTGATGTTCTATCTCAATTTTTTTAATCCTCACCCGAGGACATGCTGAGAGAGAGAGAGAAACATTGATGTGAGAGAGAAACACCCATCAGTTGCCTTCAGTACATGCCCTGACAGGGTATCGAACCCACAACCCAGGTATATGCTCTGACCTGGAATCGAACTGGCAACCGTTTGGTGCTTAGAATAACACTCAATGAACTGAGCCATTCTGGCCAGATCAGCATATTTTTTTTTTTTTTTTTGAAGTATAAAATCTGTCAAGAGGCTTTACTGATCTCATTGGATTTCCTAGCAAAAATCAGATAGGTGTGGCAAATAGTCATTTTTATAAAGTAACTCATTACAGAGAGAGGGACTAGTACTTTTGTTCTTTGGTATTTATTTATATAAGAGGGGTGGTTAAATGATACTCATATCTCTTGTAAAATATAATGGAAATTAGTCACAAACTTTTAATTTGTATCTTTTTAAAATTAAGTCTGAAGAGGGTTTTGTTTTGTTTTCTTCTAGTTTTTTAATTTATTTATTTATCCTAATCCTCACCTGTGGATATTTTTCCATTGACTTTTTTAGATAGAATGGGAGGGTGGGAGGGAGGGAGGGAGGGAAGGAAGGGGGGGGAGAGAGAGAGAGAGGGAGAAACATCTGTGTGAGAGAAACACATTGATTCATTGCCTCCCGCACAACCCCGACTGGAGCTGGGGATGGAACCCACATCTGGAATAGGCGCCCTTGACTGGGGGTAAAACCCGAGATTCTTTGGTCTTTGGGCCAACACTCCAACCACTAAGCCAAACCGGCCAGGGCTTCCCCCAATTTTAGAAAGATAAATCTTACCTTTCCTCTGTGCTTCTTAAGGTAAAGCAAGGTCTCAACTTAGGTTGGTGTAAGTTAACTTTTCCTGATGGACACGATCATTTAATTCAGATTGAACACCCCGGACCATATGAAAGGTACTGAAAAGCATTTTTTAAATTATTTCCATGTGAGTAAAAAACTTTTAATTGACAGAGTGGAAACATATAAGCCATATCTACATGTTATATTTTGTTTTAGTTTTTATATGTGGATGTGAACGAAGTCATTTCAACAGGTTTCAAAGTTTGCAGTTGTATTGGCATCTAGCATAACTAAAAAGACCAGGTCAGCTTTAATCATTTCCATTTGTATTCAAACAATTTTTCAAAATGAGTGTGTTAGATATAACTGGCTTGCTGGGGAGGTTGTTGTCAGATGTGTTGACCACTTAATCCCATAACCAATTGGAAAAGGTTTGCAACCATAAATAACTACATTTCTGTATTTGTCTACAAAGCTGAAAAAAAAATTAACTGATGATTCTTAAAATGGAGATTCTTGAAATCAGCTTTTCATGAATGTGCTTTCTTTTGGTTTATGTAATTTGTTATAGTCATTGTACTTGTGATGTTCTTAACATTTTAGTTATTTTGCTTTGAGAATGTTCACAAAATGATTGCATTTTTTTATCTCTTGAATTTATTTTTCTGTCAAGATGTTGTATTTTGGTCTCAATGTTCCAACATTCATTGCTAGTTTGAATAATTTGCCTCAAAAAGACAGTGTCTTTAGCAAACATTATTATTTGTTTCAGCCAGTCACTAGAAAACAATAATTTTATTAAACTTGGTACTTGTTCTGCATATTCAGTGAGTTATATATAATTATACGTGTATGTGTGTGTACATAAATATATGTATATATCTATATGAAATATGCATTAATGGGTATTTTCTAGTTTAAATTTTAGAAAGCAAATGCTAACTTAGTCTTATTTGCAAACACATTTACATAGTAAAATTTAATGAAAATCTTTTTTTTTTTTTTTTTTACTATAAGGAGAATTTAGACTTTGAATTTGAACTTTGAATGCAATCCAAGTATCCCCTTTGTTCTGACTTTAATCTCATCTTTATTACTCGTGAATATGGGTAAATAATTTTATTCTTGATGAATAATGAAAAAAACTTGCCTTTTCTATTTCCAATGAAGAAGATTCAGAGAATTTCCCAGTAAATGCCTTACTTTAGAAAATTCTCTTTATCCTTTTTCCCAAATTGTCTTAATGATTTTTCATTCATATTTGCAATTTTTATAAATATTATACAAGTTCATTTTTCAAATATTTCTCTTAATGTATTCAATCTAGGTATGTGTCCACAGTAATATCATGGTGCAAAAGACTGACCCAGACTAGACAGAAAGAGATGCCCACACATCCTTCATCTTCTGTTCTTGAAGAAAATTGGTATTTATATTTCTTTTAAATTTAGTCTGTGTAGAAGAACCAACTAACACTCAAAAATTAAAATGTCAAATGGTAAACTTTTTGTTTTTAATTTATTGATTTGATTTGAGAGAGTGAGAGAGAATAAAACATCCCTTTGTTGTCCCACTTACTTATGCATTCATTCATATGTGCCCTGACTGAGGATCTAACCTGTAATCTTGGTGTATTGGGACGACACTAACCTACTGAGTAGCCCAGCCAGGGAAGAAAACCTTTTCTTAGTTAAATATATTTAACTCTATGTTTTTGATAGCTTAAGATTAAAAATAAGTTATCTTTAATCAGGTATCTAATTTATTGCAGTTCATATTATATTTCATCTAAAGGTCAGAAAACTGCATTTAAAATATGTCAAAATGGGTGACTCTTTCAGCCTTGACTGGTTTGACTCAGCAGTTAAAAGTGTTGTCCTGCAGACCAAATGATCATGGGTTCAACTCCCAGTCAAGGGCACATACCTGGGTTGCAGTTGCAGTTTCTATCCCCGGCCAGGGTTGTAGTTTCTATCCCTAGGGTGAGGCTGTGCAGGAGGCAGCTGGTCAATGTCTCTGTCTCCCCCTCTCTTCCTCCGTCCCTTCCACTCTATCTTAAAAAAAAAGAGTGACACTTTCAGTATGAGAAATTCATCTTGAAAGCTTTATGGCAAATTTAAAGGAGGTTTAAAAAATTTTTTTAGTAATATTAAGGAAACAAAATGTTGACTGCATAATAAGCTTTCAGAAAAAAAAGATTTTTAAAAACAATTTCCATCTAATTAATGCCCTTCCCCAAATTGACAAATCATCAAATAAAGCAAGTATTATAGTCCCTCCTGTGTGTGCACTGGGCTCAAAGAAATATTTAGGGAAAATAAGACATTTTAAGGAGGAAGCAAGGACAGAGGTAAAAGTGGATATTTTGGACTGTGGAGATAGTTGAGAAGATAGTTTTATGAAACAGATGCTATCTGTTAGGTATAGCGTGAGTTTAGAAGGGATCTTATAATCCCTAAAGGAACTCAGACTTGACAGAATTACAAGTTCCTAAATGGAAAAAATGACCGGAAGAAAGGTCATCAGAAAGGTTAGTAACACTGAGAGTATAATCTGAATATACTGGAAAAGAAGGATACCAGGAACAATTTAGGAAGTTTTAATGTAACAATTTAGGAAGTTGTAAGGTAGCATGGCATAGCATGGTGAAAAAATATATACACATTAAGCCTGATTCTTACTACATTTTCCAAAGTTATTTAGAGAAGGAGGCATAAGTCAAAACAGTAGATATCTGTCTCCAGTATCATAAAGATTCAGCTTTCCATATCCCTCATTCTTCAACTACAGACTGTTTAGGGATAGAAAAGTCGTCTTAGTAGCCAGTAAAAAAACTATACTTGGGAACATAGTTGGGAAGAAAGGGAAATTGTATACAGCTATAAAATCGGTCACTTCATCATTGCTCAGCTGGCGCAGTTTGTAAAATGCTAGCCTTTTTATATGAAAGCTTAGAAGATAACTGTCAAGATGTACAAAAAAGTGAGGGACTAGCCTGGCCAGTGTGGCTCAGTGGTTGAGCGTGCACCAAGAGGTCGCTGGTTTGATTCCTGGTCAGGGCACATGCCCAGGTTGTGGGCCCAATCCCCAGTTGGGGGCATGCAGGAGGTGGCCAATTGATGCTCTCTCATCGATGTTTCTCTCTCTCTCTCCCTCTCCTTTCCTCTCTCTCTAAAATTAATAAAGAAAAAAAATGTTTTTAAAAGTGAGGCATTAGAGAAGTACAGATTGGTGATAGTGGCTATGGGTAGAAGTGATGAGGAACCACAGAGGGACAAAGGAATTGAGGAGGAGCAGGGAGATATAGACACTGCCATTTCCTTTGCAAAGCCCAAGACATCTCCAACTATAAATTGCTTTCTTGTCAAAGAGATTAGGCTGAAGAAAGAGAAGAGATTGTATAATAAGTAGCTACCAAAATTACATTTCAGTTTTTTTTCCCCCAACTTACCTAATATTAGGTTACTGATTCACCTTTTTAATAGGAATGTTAGTCAATACAGAAGCTATTTTATAAGAAGTTGATTTGTCATCTGAGCAACACCTTTAAAGGTAGTTTGTTTCATTGTTCATGGCCAGAAAAAATGTGTCGTGTGTTAAAAAAATAAAAATGTTTTGTAATGATGAAGAATCAGCAGGCTTTAAAGTCATATCCAAGTCATTATTACAGATGCTTAAATGGTAAGCTGACAAAGAGGTGCGAGTGGTCCATTGTAGTAAAGCCAGTAAAGTAGACAAGTCACATATTCTATTATGAACTGTGAAGAAGACTTTTCTAGTGACTTGACTAAAGAGATGTTTTAGACATTAATGTCCTCATTAATTTTGCAGAGAGCTAGTTGAGTTATACTGTTTTCTCGTTGTATGCCACTGCTCATGTTTTATTGTAGCTTGATGAGGAAAAAGAGAAAGAACACACAAGTAAGAGTTTCTGCTGGAGTTGTATACAGCCCTCTTCCCCATAATCTGTTTCTGTGGAACATGGTAAGAGCTAATGTTCATAATATTAACCCTCCAAGTCAAGAAGAGAATGTTTAGTATATTGTGTTTAAGCAAACAATGAAATGAGTAGGTAGTCTCTTCCAGAAGGAATGTAATAGAAAATGCTTTGTGACATAGTTTAACTGTGTAAAAATTGGCCTTCCAAAACCATCCATACCTTAAAAGTTCCATATAAATGAAACCTTATTATATGTGCAAAGTACAGAAGAATAACAAAAAGTCCATACTTCTGAAAGAGACAACATAGGTAAGAAGATCAGAAACTAATAGTTCAAGACATTACAAAAAAGTATATGGTTAATTAAAATAATCTATAGGAATTCAAGGAAGAGATATCATTTCTTTTACAAAAGTGATGGGATTTTGGTAGTTTTTTTATTATTATTATTTTTCCTTTATTGATTTTAGAGAAAGAGGAAGGGAGAGAGATAGAAACATTGATGAGAGGGAACATTGACTGGCCGCCTCCTGCATGCTCCCCACTGGGGATTTGGCCCACAGCCTGGGCATGTGCTCTGACTGGGAATCGAACTGGTGACCTCTTGGTGCATGAGTTGATGCTCAACCACTGAGCCACACTGGCAGGGCTTCAGTAGGTTTGAGTATACTTTGAAGAAAATAGAGGGTATGCCAGTTTAGTACTAAGAAGTTATAGCAAGAAGGCCATTACCTTCAAATATCAATAGTTGATTAAAATGTCCTTGAGGTGGGGTACTTTTATTCACTTGGCTTACTCATTAAAAGCACTCAATAAATATCAGTTGAGTTGAGTTGATTTGTTGATAAGTAAAGCCAAAATAAAGAGAATTCTTAACTCATGTTTTTCTAAAATTCTAACCTTTATGAAAAAAATCAAGTATGCTTATTTGAAATATTGTGCATAAAAAAGAACCAGACACTAGCTTGAACTTACTTTTCTTTTCCCTATAGGTGTGTGGCTTCTGAACTTGAAAAGATACAGAAGTTTAACTGTATCCTTTAAACATAATGTATTATCCTGCATAATTACTCCCTTTCCATTTTAGGCTTAATTCATGATCTGTAGTTCATATTAATCCACACATATATTGCAGAGCTTCAATGAATATTTAAGATATTCGAGAAGTATCTTGTCTGGAGAAGGTACATGATTTTGAAGATTTTTGCATGTTCATCAGTGATACTGACTTGTAATTTTCTTGTACTGTCTTTGTCTGGTTGTGGTTGTCAGGGTAATGTTGGCCTTACACAATGAGTTTGAAAGTGTTTCCTCCTCTTGTATTTTTTGAAAGAGTTTGAGAAGGGGATTGGTAATAATTCTTCTTAAATGTTTGGTAGAATTCACTAGTGAAACTATCTGGTCTTGGGGTCGTGTTTGTCAGGAGGTTTTGATTACTGATTCAGTCTCCTTTTCCTTACTAGTATTTGGTCTGTTCAGACTTTCTGTTCATGATTCAGTCTTGGTAGATTGTATGTTTTTTGAATTTATCCTTTTCTTCTAGATTGTACAATTTGTTGGTATATAATTGTTCATAGTAGTCTCTTATGAGTCTTTGTCTTGTGTAGTATCAGTTGTAATTTCCCCTTTCAATTCTGATTTTATTTGAGTCCTTTTTTTCTTCATAAATCTAGCTAAAGGTTTAATGAAATTTTTATTTCCTATCACCGAAACTCCATCCAAACACACAAATACATACACTCTTTCCTTTCCCCCTCTTATACTCTAGTTTCTTCATCTGTAAGGGATAAACTTGATAGGTTCTGAAGTGCCAACTCTATCATGTATCCAAGAGATCTTCTTCCCAATGAAGAAATCATATTTTAATATGGTCAGGCATTCTGAAGTTAAAAATACTTATATAATGAAAAATGTGGGCAAAATCCCCTTAACTAAGCAACTTAGTGTTACTGGAGAAGAGTGGTATCCTAAACCCGTTTTCTAACAAGAAAAAGGAACAGTCTTCTGATTATAAACCAGAATATTCAGAAACCTTGCTAGAAGAAGTTAATGAAAAGAGAGTATCAGTGGCATTAAAAAAAACCTCTGAAATTATTCAGGATATTGACTGTCTTCTATCAAACTCTAAAAAGTGAAAAATGAAATTACTGCAATATATTATTAAATCTTAAGGATGTTGTTTCAAGTGACTGGTATAAAATTACTAGAAAGCCAAAGAATTGTATATATGACTTCTGTATAATAATTCTATGAGAAGTGACATTTAACTTTGGATGTATTTTACCTAACCTGTAAATTTAAATATATACATATTTATAAAATGCTTTATTAATAAATAACCATTTTGAAATTTGAACTGTTTGTTTTAGATTTATGAGAAAAACGTTTTATAAACTTAGAGTTTTATCTTGTGAAGCATTCACTATTAATGAAGGATTTTTAAAAACATATGCAGTATTGAGTGTATTTGGTCATTTGCTATTTAGTCTCTACTCCAAGTATTTTTCAATAGAACTATGAGAATTAGATCTTTAAAAAAAAAAAGTAGGTAATATTGCTTTAGGCCAAGAACCAAGTACTTAAGCAATGACTAAATTTTATCTGAACTGTCTCACAAACCAGTTATGTTCATTTCTTTTGAACATCTGAAAAGATTTATGTTATGAAGAATGTGAAACTAAACAAACTCACCAAAAGTGCTATTTATTACACCTTCTCCTATGACAAAGAATAAAACCAGACGTCTAAAAAGACTTCCAGATTATACCAAGTATAACCAGAAATGTTATATTTAACTTCTGATTTGGGGGGGGGGAAGGGGGGGAATAGCCTCTTCACATAAAAGAGAAGCAGCAACAGAAAATACAAGGAGAAAACAGAGAGAGCAAAGCAAGCAGAGCATAGTAGTGATGTCAGCGATCTGAATGGGTACAGTGCTCTCTCTAGGCCCTTTCATGCTCGGTTCCTTACCATCTTCAGGTTTTAGCCCAAATACCACTTCTTCAGAGGGGCCTTCCAGGCTACCCTACCTAAAGCTGGCCTCCCCAGTCACTCTTTATTACATCACCCTAGTCATTTCCTTTACAGCACATACTTCAGTTGTCCAATATATTTGTGGTCTTTATCCTCCTCTAGAACTTGAGCTCCATAAAATTATTCTGTAACCAAGCATAGTGCCTGGCATACTGAAAGCACTCAGTCTGTTGTATAAATGAATCACTGCGTTTGGGCAATAGATGGACTACGAGAAAGAACTGTAGGTCCTATTTTGGTAGCAGGAAGCCATCTATGTTGTCCCTCCGCAGCTCTAGAAAGCCTAGACTGTAGTAAGACATGTCCCATGCTGCGGTAGGGTAACGCCAAATTTCAGACAAAAAAACTTGTCACGCGACTCAAAGCACTCAATAGTGTGGTCAATGTATTTGGTGATATTTTAAATTAGCTTTTATGCTATGTGGATAAAATAGGTGTAATTTTCCCTCTTAGTGAGTCTTTAACCCTTGGCTAAGGAACCAAGAGTGTGACGAGCAATGCAAAGTTACATAACAGATACTGAGCCACACATAGGTTCTGTGACAGGCCTATTCGAGTCGGCTCGAGACGGAAGATTCCAGTTTTCCATGGTCCATGGCCCCTTTCAACTAGGTGTGTATAATTCTCCCTGCTGCCCTAGCCTTCCATCTGACACTTGTTTTGAGAAAGTAGGTGGGAAGGAGAAAGAATGTTCCTCTTTGAGCCTCTTCGTCCGGGCCAGCATCTCCTAGAGCGAAATGTGGCGCCAGATGTCCTTCTGAGGCTCAGAGCGCCGAGTACCTGACTTGGGAGCAAGGAGACGGAGCGGGCACTAGCCACCGCCCAGGTCCACAAGCTGCATCTTGTCGGTCCCTAGGGTCTGTGGACAGTCACTTGTCAACGCCCGAGCTCCCAGGGTCGGGCTGTCCTCAGAGCAGCCTGAGCGCCCGCCCGCCGCACGGAGGCGAAGGGTAGTTATCCGGACGCCCCCAGGGGGCGGTGAAGCGCTGCGGGAAGTGTCGGGGCGGCCTGGTCGCACGGTCTCCGGAGTCCATCGGAGGAAGTGGGGATCACCTCTCCCCCTCCGGGGCCCCCGCGGTCAGGGGCTCCGGCGTCTGGGCGCCGGGCCAGCGCGTCCCACGTTCGGTGAGGATCACTCTGCGGCCCCGGCCTCCCAGCCGCAGTGGGGTACGCGGCACGGCGCCGCTAGACCGAGAACGAGTCCAGGTGCGACCGAAGGAACCGACAAGGCACTTCTCACTTGTCTCCGTCGTCCCCAAAGTCTCCTTTTGGCGGGACTGGACGGGGGAGAACTCGAGGTACCCAGTCCTTCCACCAAAGAGCCCTGGGACATCAGCCCCTGTCGGCCCAAAGTGGCGCCATATCCCGTCGTCCTCTCGGCCGGCGGTGCGGGCTGGAGCCGCTCTGGCCGGCGCCGGCATCTCTATGGTGCCGACAGAAGGGGCGGGGCAGACGGGGCGGGGGAGACGGGGCGGGGCGACGGTGGTGCAGCTGCTTCGGGCGCGAGAGCCCAGGGTGGGTGCGGCTGAGCTGCGGCGCGGACCCGGCGGGAGGGGGATGCGAGGGACGCTGCGAAGCTGCGTCCTCAAGTGGGAAGTCGGAGGCGAGGACCGCCTGCGTCTGAAGTCTGGGAGGTCCAGGTTCTAGATGGGGGGGCGTGCAGGTGCGGCAGGCGCACGGGACCCGAGAGCAAGCGGGGTGTGTTGGCCAGCGGGCCGGCACCGTCCGGGGCCCCGGGACCTGCTCGAAGCCCGGCAGCGCCGTCCGGCTTCCTCGCGCCTTCTAGGTCCCACAGGCTCCCAGCCATCGCCTGGCCTCGCGCCCCTGGCGTCTCCCTGGCCCAGGGCGGGGAGCCGGGCCGGGGTCTGATAGAGCTGCCCATTGCCCCTTACGTGGTGGCCCGGCCCCTGCCCACACGCCCCGATCCTTGGAGGAGTGAATGCGACGAGTGTGACCTGTCCCTGCCCTGCAGACGCCACGGCATCCTACCCTGTGTTCTTCATCGACATCTTTAGAATGACCGTATCACGCCAACCTGACGAAAGAACGTCTTCGGGAATTTGCTGAGACTTGAAACGTCAAGTTGAAATGCGGAATTGTATGTTTCATTCGTAATGGTCATGGGAACTAAACATTTTATGTGCAGGCTACGAACAGTTTCCGTGAAAGTGAGCACGATTTGTTTCCTTTGCAAATTAGCTGCGTTAGGTTTGGCATCAGCTTTGGGTGTTGTAGTATTAAAGAAATATAAGCTTCGCAGCAACTACTGCCCAGTGAAGAGGGCTTATTTATAAAGATAATAAAGCATAATAAAAGCATAATTTTAGATTGTGCTTTTACCCCGGGGATTTTGTAAATGTGATTGCGGGGAGGAGAGAAGAAGGGGGTGAAGTAGAAGATGACATTTACATTGGGAATACATTAGCTCTGATTTGTTTTGGCAGAAATATGTCTAAGAGGTTATTGATAAACAATACATAATAGTGTATAATTAAAGTAACTGGCTAATGATGTGTTTGTTGCGTTAGGAAGGGGAAGATTACTGCTATGTATACTTTGAAGGCCCCAGAGTTGGTGGCATTTTACTGTAATGGGGATGAAGTGTGGCAGAATTTGGCCTTTGCAGAAGGTGGCTCCTGCAAGTCATAGAGACAAATGTATGATGTGGGAAATTGGCTGTTGTGGCAGAGAAGTCATATCCAATTAATATCTTTAGTTCATAGGCTGAGGATTGCTTACCTGCTTATCCCTTTTATTAGTATAATGAAATATTTATTAAACATCTGAGCACATTAGATTTTATGCATGACAGGTTTAAAAAATTATAATTACTACTCTTAAGGAACCTGCCCCCAAAAAGTGAGCATGTAAAATAAACAGAAGGCTCTTTTACAGTTTAAGAGGTTCCCAAGTCCATTTTATTTGTAAGGGTAGGAGCAGGAATAGAAAAGGGTAAGAATCAAAATGGTCACTTAAGTGTCCTGGACAGAGACAATAAAGAAGAGGAAGTACACTTATTAGATTTCTCCATCTCATACTGAGAATCTAAATATCTGCACCTATAGTTGGAGAGGAATAGATGTCAGAACTGTGTATTTCTGGGACCATAATTATACCTTTTTAAAAATATAAACTCACCAGGCTGGTGCGGTGTGGACCCATGCACCAAGAGGTTCAATTCCGGTCAGGGCACATGCCCAGGTTGTGGGCCCAATCCCTAGTGGGAGGCATGCAGGAGGCGGCCAATCCATGTTCTCTCTCATTGATATTCTCTCTCTCTCCCCTTCTCCCTTCCTCTCTAAAAATCTAAAGAAAAAAAAAATTTTTTTAAAAGAGGAAGAAAAAAGAGAAACTGTTTTAGTTATCTACTACTGCATAACAAATTACCCTGAAACTTAGAGGCTTAAAGCAGAAGATATTTCCTTTTGTCTTAATCTGTCTCTTTTGTTAATTTTTATTTGTTTCATTGATTTTAGAGAGCGAAAAGGAGAGAGGAAAGAGAGAGAGAAACATTGATTTGTTGTTCAACCTATTGGTACAGCCAGTAGGTTGATTTTTGTATGTGCCCTGACTGGGGATGGAACCTGCAACCTTGGTGTATTGGAACAATGCTCTAAGCAACTGAGCTACCCAGCCAGGGCTCAGTCTGTCTCTTAATAGAGACATTTAATACATTCACATTTATTGTGGTATTTGTATTTGATATGTTTGATCCTGATTGCTTTTTTTGGGGGTGGGGGAGTTAAAATTTTTTTTTTTCCTTTTCTGTTTTGCTGTATTGATCAAGTTTTCTTTATTCCTATCCCCCCTCCCTTGAGATTTAGAAGTCCTGCTCCTCAGTTTTTCCCCCAAGAAATTGTACATAAGTGTTATAATTTCTAAGGCAAAACTCTTAAAATTCATGATTGTCACACAAGCCCCATAATTTAATTATACTTAAAGTCCTACAGTAATGATCCTTTTCTCTCAGAGCTCTGTACCCCACAGTATTTTGGTACTTAGCGTTGTTGGTATTTAGTGTTGATGTCAATTGCGTTCTCTTTTGCAGATAACCTTTTTTGGACGTGAATACTTTGAAAGAATTTTTATTTTATTTTATTTTATCTTTTAGTACTCAGCTCTGTTCTTTTTTACTCCTCAAGCTTTGGGAAAAGTCTTTGAAAATATTCATATCCACTTGTGTCTTTCGAAGCATTCACTTAATACGCATTCACTTAATACGCATTCACTTAATACGCATTCACTTCATATGCATTCACTTCATATGCATTCACTTATTATGCTTCTGTTAACCTTTTAGTCGGGCAGGCAGGCTTTCATCTCTGTAATCTTGTTTTCGGATTGCTCCTTTTACACTGAAGCCCGCTGTTGTTATTGACAATAAAGTATATTTCCCTAATTTTTTAGTACCTTTTTTGGAATATAATTGAAATGTAATAAACTACATATTTAAAATAAATAATTTGAGAGTTTCGTCATATGTATGAAACTTTTCATCACCATAATCAAGATAATGAACATGTCTGGCCCCCAAACTTTCCTTATGCTCCTTTTATAATCTTCCTGTCTCTCTTGTCCCCAGGAGACCACAGATCTGCTTTCTGTCACTTAGATTTGTTTGCATTTTCTAGATTATATAAATTGAATCACTGTGCATTTTTTAAAAACATATTTCTAAATGAAAATTTCAAATATACAGAGAGGTAGAGAACTAATGAACTGCAGTATATCCATTACCTAAATGAAGCAATTATAACATTTTTCCATTCTTGATTCATTTATTTATTTAAATATGTTTCTATTGAATTTAGAGAGAGAGGAGGGGAGAGAGAGGGAGACATTGATGTGAGAGAGAAACATCTATCAGTTGCCTCCTGCACAAACCCTGATGGGAAATCAAACCAGTGACCTTATGGTGCATGGGACAAAGCTCAACCAACTGAGCTACATCTGCCAGGGCTTGATTCATTTATTTACTTTTTTAAATTAATAGACTTATAGCAGTTTTAGATGTATAGAAAAGCTGAGCAGATTGTACAAAGTCAGCATATACAGCTGATCCTTGAACAGTGTGGGATTAGGGGTGCTGACCCCCTGTGTAGTCGAGAAGCCATGTATAACTTTTGTTGTTGTGGTTAACCCTCACCCAAGGGTATTTTTCCATTGATTTTTAGAGAAAGTGAGGGAGAGAGAGAAACATCAATGTGAGAGAGACACATCAGTTGGTTGTCTCCCAAATGACCTGACCAGGGCTGGGGATGGAACCTGCAACCCAGGTACGTGCCCTTGATTGGGAATTGAACCCGAGACCCTTCAGTCCGTGGGCTGACGCACTAACTGCTGAGCCAGACGGGCCAGGACCACGTGTAACTTTTGACTCCCCTAAAACTTAACCACTAATAGCTTACTATGGGCCAGAAGCCTTACCAATAACATAAACAGTTGATTAACATAATTTTGTACACTATGTGTATTCTTACATTAGAGTAAGCTAGAGAAAATAAAACATTATTAAGAAAATCATAAGGAAGAGAAAATATATTTACAGTACTTATTGAAAAAAAATCCATATAGCCCTGGCCGGTTTGGCGCAGCGGTTAGAGCGTCGGCCTGCGGTACTGAGAGACCCGGGTTCGGTTCCTGCTAAGGGCACGTACCTCGGTTGCAATTTGTCCCCGACCCTGGTTGGTCGTGCGGGTGGCAGCCACTCGATGTGTCCCTTTCACGTCGATGTTTCTCTCTCTCTCTCTTCCTCTCTCTCCCTCCCGCTCTATCTGAACAAAAAATGGAAAAATGTCCTCAGATGAGGATAAAAAAAAAAAAAAAAGAAAAGAAAAAAAATCCATATATAAGTGGACTTGCAGTTCAAACTGGTATTCATAGGTCAGCTGTTATTTCCCTTCCCTCTGCACACATATCTCCCTGTTAGCATTTGCATTAATGTGGTACATTTGTTGCAATTAAGGAACCAATATTGATATATTATTATTGACTAAAGGCCATAGTTCACTTTTTGTGTTGTACAATTCTGTGGGTTTTGACTATTTTTTTTTTTTGGTTGGGCTTGTTTTCACTCAGTATGAATTTGAGGTTCATCCATGTGTATGTATCACTTTTTTTTTTAAATTTCTCTTTATTCCATATTTTGTTTAGCCAGTTTGTTTATTTCCAGTTTGAAACTAATGTAGATAAAACTGCTGTGAACGTTCATGTACAAGTCTTTGTACTTTCACTTCGCTTAGGAGACACCCAGGAGTGGAGTGACTGAGTCATGTGGTAGGAGTATAATTGACATGAGAAACTGGAAAGTGACTGTACCACTTTACATCTCCACCAGCAGCGTATGAGAGTTCTGGTTGCTCTACATCTTGCCAACATTTGGGATGGTCCATCTTTCATTTTAGCCATTCTAATAGAAATTTTGGTATTGTGTGGTTTTCTTTTGCATTTCTCTAAAAATTAATGATGTTGAACATATTTCATGTGCTTATTGGCCATTTGTATATCATCTTTGTAAAGTGCTTTTTCAAATCTTTTGCCCATTTTCATATTGGTTTGTTTGTTTTCTGTTATTATGTTTTGAGATTTTAAAATCCTGGGTACAAATCCTTTATAAAATACAAAATATGCAAATATTTTCTCCCAGTCTGTGCCTTTCAAAGAGCAGAAGTTCTTAATTTTGGTGTTCAATTTATCAAATTTTTAAAACCCATCAAGCTTTTGGTGTTGCATCTAAGAACTCTCTGCATAAACCAAGGACACAAAAATATTCTATGTTTTCTTTCAGAAGTTTTATAATTTTATGTTTTACATATGATCCATTTTGAGTTAATTTTTATGTAGGGAGGAAGGTACAGATTGAGGCTCATTATTGCTTATGGATATCCATTTGTTCTAGCACCATTCATTGAGGGGACTGTGTTTTCTCCATTGACTTGCTTTTGCGTGTTTGTCAAAAATGACCATGTATGTATGGATCTATTTCTGATCCCACTCTCCATTCCAGCGATTTTCAACCTTTTTCATCTTATGGCACACATCAACTAATTACCAAATTCTGCGGCACATGAAAAAGTATATTTTCTGCTGATATGACAAAAATGGGTATACTTTGTATTCATTCACACCAGATGGCTATTGGTGTGTTGGCTGTTGTCATTTTTTTATTTGACAATCTAAGAGAAAAGAGGTCAATGCCCGGACTAGTCAGGTATTGCATGTTTCTAAAATGCTTGCAGCACACGGGTTGAAAATTGGTGCTCTGTTCTATTGATCTATTTGTCTATCTTTACACCAATACCACAGTCGTGGTTACTATGGCTTTATAATAAAGCTTGAAATCATATGGTGTAGTCCTTCAACTGAATTCCTCTTTTTCAAAGTTTTTCTGTTCTAGATCTTTTGCATTTCCCTATAAACGTTAGAATGAGTTGTGTATAGTTTTTATTACAGAATGGAACTTGAGTCATTTACAATAAATTATTTAGTTCTTCTTTAGTCTCAGAATTAAAACAAAACAAAAACTTTAGGTGTCCCCCAATACGGATAACTTGAACTGGATAAGTAATTTCAATATTCTATGCCAGGTAAGCACTCAGCACAGAATTATGGTTGTCATTTATATCAGTCAAGGTTCTGTAGTTAGAGGCAACAGAGAGGAAAAGGGGTTTATAGGGGAAATGCTGGGGTAGCTTGTGGAAATGAGGGCGAGCGGCAGGAAATGAAGGGCAGCTCTGAGGTCTTTAGAGCTGGGCCTGAGGATTCGATGTCTTTATGATTCTTTTTTCCTCGGCTGTTCCATGCAGTAGGGTCTGCAAGAAGAAAATAAACTTTTCTCACCAGCTGCACTTAGGAAAATTCTGGAAAGGAGTCTGATTAGCCCAACCTGGGCTACTTTCATCACTAATTTAATCACTACTAATTAATCTCTACTACTAATAAGGAGGACAGGGAATCCGAAGTGGTCAGCTCTGGAGCTTAGGTGTCGTGATAAGCAGTTTTCCCAAAGGAAGGTGCTGCTGTTATCAGGTATGCAAGGTAGTTGCTGGGTACATAGATAATGGATGCCCACTACTGCAGAGTAAACGTTACTGAGAGAGAGACGACCTCAAAGTTATAGATTCCAGTCAGTGGGCGTTCTTACATTTCCCGTGCTACACATTACCACCTAACCTGTCTTTCCTACAAAGTTCCCCTCTTTGGGCCACATGGCTTATTATATATAACATGTAAGAAATACCATTTTTTTATACTTGAAAGTTGTTGAGAACAGGTCTTACCACACACAACAAAAGGTGACTATGTAGATGATGGATGTGTTAACTAACCTTATTGTGGTAGTTACTTCACAGTATGTATACATAGCAAATCGTCACGCTGTACACCTTAAATTTACACAGTGTACTATATTGTTTACATCTCAGTAAAGCTAGGAAAAATAAAATTTTTAAAAAAAGAAATACCAGTTTTTATAACTTGGTTTTGTACTTGTGAAATTATTGCTGATAATGTTTTGTTCAGATATTGTATGACAGCTCATAATCTTCATGAGTGTTTTTTTCTTCCTTCTAATTTAGGGTGAGTGGGAATGTCAACAAGAATAAGCTCATTTCCTGATGGCTTTTTGTGGACACTGACATACTGTTTGTGATGGCATCCGAGACTGAGAAAACCCAGGCTTTACTGCAGTCTTGCAGCACTGAATCTCTTCTTTCCAGCCTCGGCCTGGGGATATTCTGCCTTGTGGCTGACAAACTCCTTCAGTTTCCCACAGTTCAGCAGAACGACTGGCTTCGCGCACTCTCCGACAACGCGGTGCACGGCGTGATTGGCATGTGGTCCTGGGCAGTCGTCATCGGAGTCAAGAAGAAGACTGACTTGAGAGAAATCTTCTTAGCTGGATTTTTAGCCTCTGTTATTGATGTAGACCACTTTCTTCTAGCTCAATCCCTATCTTTAAAGGTAAGAAGCATATCTGTTTAATTTTGGGGTCTTTTCTTTAATTTTGTTAGCACCATTATATTGACCTGCACAGGATTATTTTAGTTAGAGCTGGTAAAGATTGGCTTTATTTTAAAATAAGAAAGCCCAGTCCGGCTGGTGTGGCTCAGTGGTGGAGTGTCGACCCGTGCATCAAGAGGTCACCGGTTCGATTCCCAGTCAGGACACATGTCCAGGTTGTGGGCCTGATCCCCAGTGAGGGGCGTGCAGGAGGCGGCCAATCAGTATTCTTTCTCATCGATGTTTCTATCTCTCTCTCCTTCTCCCTTTTTCTCTCTCTAAAATCAATAAAAGGAAAAAGAAAGAAAGAGAGAGAGAGAGAGAGAAAGAGAGAAAGAGAGAAGAAAGAAAGAAAGAGAGAGAGAGAGAGAGAGAGAGAGAGAGAAAGAAAGAAAGAAAGAGAAAGAAAGAAAGAAAGGAAAGATAGAAAGAAAGAAAGAAAGAAAGAAAGAAAGAAAGAAAGAAAGAAAGAAAGAAAGAAAGAAAGAAAGAAAGAAAGAAAGAAAGCCCAGCCTTGGCCGAGGGGCTCAGATGGTTGGAGCGTTGACCTGTATACCAAAAGGTGGCAGGTTTCCTTCCTGATCAGGGCACGTACCTGAGTAGCCAGTTCGATCCTGGGAGGGGGAGTGCAGGAGCAGCTGATTGATGTTTCACTCTCATATCAATGTTTCCCTCATTTCCCTTTCTCTCTCTCTCTCTCTCTCTCTCTCTCTCTGTCTCGTGTGTGTGTGTGTGTGTGTGTGTGTGTGTGTATAATTTCAGTCTTGGGGAATAACTTTAATAGATTCATTCCCCAAGTCCCTCTTGGAGCCAAAGGTATGCATTTAAGTGGGCTGATTAGGGCACAGTCCCTGGTGGAGAAATTGAGGAATTTCATTAGGCATCAGGGGTATAGCTATCCAGTCACTATTAGCCTTGCAAATGAACTAAGCTTAAATGGGCAGTTCAGATAATATTTTCTTTCTTTCTTTTTTTTTTTTTTTTTTTTTTGTTGTTGTTGTTGGGCAGATCCTCTGAGCCCCCAGCCTGGGACACTTAGGGTCCAGTCACACCCAGACCAAAAGTAACACCCTTAAGCTTTTCCATCGAGCAGAATTCCCCCAGCCTCGACTTTCGATTTTTGGGTTAGGAGCGAGTGTCTTGAAAGAAATGGGAAGTTGAGTTTTGAGTCTGAAAGGATTAAAAGTGTCCCTCCACCTCCCCCCAGTTCCGCTATTACTGCAGAGTGCGCGAGCGAAGGCGGGTGGAGGTGTGGGTGATGGGATCCTGGACAGAGCAGAGCCTCAGCCACCAGGCCTTGGGTAGGGCTTCCAGAGCCGCCACAGCCCCTGCGCCTTGGGAAGGGAAGCCCTCCTCTCCACATTCCCCTCCCTCCCCTGCTAACCCGTATAGGAGGCAGAGTGCCCTTCACAGCTGAAGTTGTGCAGAGGTTGTCCCTGGTGGTTGGACCCGGCACCCCACTGAGGGAGGCTGTGCAGAAAGGGCCTCAAATCGCTGGACAGCCAGCCCTAGGGTCTAGCTTCCATGTCCAGGGAGGGAGCAGCCGGACCCATGTTGCAGACAGCTTCTAAGATATTTGTTCATTTTTCATTTATTCGACAAAGGTCTGTTAGATTCTCACTATGTGCTAGGTGCTGAAATTACAGCTATGAAAAATCAGGTAAAACATTCAAGACTTTAGCCATAACAACATTTCTGCACCAGATTGGAGCTGGATCCAAACTTTGAGCTCACTGAAGGAGCGGGGCCTGGAGCAGCTCTCCTGAGCCCCAAAGGCACTGCCATCCCTCCCAGGGAACTGTGGCCTGGCCACGGAGGCTTTTTCCCTCCTCCTTTCTGATACCTGCAACAAAGCAGCCAGCAGTCCAGAGGAAGCTTCTTTCTAACATCAAGGTTGCTAAGGTTCATGGCCAGCACATTGGGGGTCAAAGGGCAAGGAACCTGGTGAGCTGCAAGGTGTCAAAATTCAACTGTGGGAGGAGGCACTGACCAAATGCCCATAGGAGCCTGATCCTCAGTCTGCCACTAGACCATGTTCAGTTACAGAAGTGTCCTTCTCAAAGCCACCAGGAAAGAGGGATGTTTTTTAGGTCCAGGGGTCTAGGCTCCAGGTTCTTGCACTCCCACCCCAGTGATGCTCTCCCCCAACCCAGTGTGACCTCCTGTAGTCCATTTGGGAATAATGAGTGCCTGAGGGTCCTGAAACCTGAAGACCTTTAGAAGCCCCTCTCTGGGGATGTGTTCTCCTGTTTCTTATATGAAAACCCCAGAGCACTTCCCAGCCATACCGTGTAAACAGCTCACCACCTGCTCAGAGCCCTTCCTTAGGCTTCACGGGGAAGATTGGGGTTAGGTGCAGGGGCTGGGGCTCGGTGCCCAGAAAAGGCTGGTCCTGCAGGCTATGTGTAGAGCCAACAGGTCCCTGGCTTCCAGGCCCAGCTGGAATACATGCCGCACACCCTTGCTAGCCAGACCTCTGGACCCACCACCAGTGGCCCGTAGGGCCAGATAATATTTTCTAAGGGTCAACAGACTTGCCTGCCTTTTACATGTTTATGATCTTTAAACATTTCAAGGAAAGAAATATAAACTCATTGAGCAAGGACCAAGAGGTCACCGGTTTGATTCCCAGAGGGCACATGCCCAGGTTGTGATCCCCAGTGGGGGGCGTGCAGGAGGCGGCCAGTCGATGTTCTCTCTCATCGATGTTCCTATCTCTCCCTCTCACTTCCTCCCTCTCTCTAAAATCAATAAAGGGGAAAAAAAAGGTGAAGACAAAATGGAATAATAATGCAGAAATGTTATCTGTTCTGACAAAATAGAAATAAAATTACCAGAAATGTGGAGGGGAAGGGAGAATGTCAGCCCTCTGATGTTCAGTCTGTAGGTGGGGTCAGAGAACTGTTTAAGCAGGAGTTTCACAGGGTCCCCAGTTTCAGGGTGGTCTGATTTGGCAGACAAGGTGAAACCTCTTTAATGGATGACTTTTTTTAATGTGAGGGGAGGGTTGTGTCCTCTATTTGTTTTATAGGTACCTAATATTTTTTCTTTGCTGGGTCCCCCCACCCCAGTCTCTAATGGGCACTGCTCCTTCTTGTCACCGCCTTCACGTGCAGAACCCAGTGCCTGTCAAAGCCTCACATCAAACTCACTTGTCAGCCCTTGCTCTGCAGTCGGAGCTCTGACTACCAGGACCCTTTGCAGTGTTTTCACACGTAGGTTGAACTTTTTCTAGTGGTAATTTTCCATCAGTCTCCTTCTCCCCTCACCTTGTCCCAGTGCATCTCCGGCTCGTGGTGGAGTGGGAGGGAGAGCTCGTGCTTCGGAGCTTATCTTCATGCGTTAGAGAAGCTGAAGTTTGAGCTTTTCTGGGCTGTCTGTGCCGAGTGAGGGTTGGGATAGTTTGATTTGTGTCATGTGATGCTTTTGAGGATGTAATGATTTGGAGGACGTGCGGCCGACTCAGAGGTAGGCAGTCCGTCCGCACTCTCCTCAGCTTTCCTTGGGTTAGAAATTATCTGGTTGCAAATTAGCCTTCAGAATGTGTGGGAACAAAACCTTACTCAGGGATCATTCAGGGGTTAAGCCTGAAGTGTTCATTTGTTTAGATATCTATTACCTTTTTGGGGGGCCATGGTTTAGAAATTTGACCAAAGTGTATTTAACTCAAATTTAGAATACTTAATTTAAACTAATACAATCTTTCTAAATGTTGTAAATAAATTCCGAAAGTACTCAAAGCTAATATAAAGTGAGTACAACAAAAATATTCCTCTTGCCCTGCCAGTTTGGCTCAGCGGTTAGAACGTCGGCCCGCAGACCAGAGAGTCCCGGGTTCGATTCCAGCCAAGAGCACGTACCTTGGTTGGGTTCATCCCCAGCCCCTGTTGGGGTCGTGTGAGTGGCAACCAGTCGATGTGTCTCTCTCTCATCGATGTTTCTCTCTCTCTCTCTCTCTCTCTCTCTCTCTCTCTCTCTCTCTCCCTCCCTCCCCTCTGTCTGAAGAGAAATGTAAAAATATCCTCGGGTGAGGATTAAAAAAAAAATTTCCTCTTTTGTGCCTTAATGAATTGAACAATATTTTATTCAATTGTGAGATTTTTTCCACCATTCTAGAGGCCCCAGACAATTTAAAACTCCAAGTTTGCACAAACCATATATTTAGGATTAAAATTGCATTTGTATTATAACTTTTCTAAGTGAATAATAGGAAACTTCAACAAATTACTTCCCATGTTCTTGAGATCTTGATTTCATTTTTTTTTTTTTACCTCATGCGAGGACATTTTTACATTTTTTGTTCAGATAGAGTGGGAGGGGGGAGAGAGAGAGAGAGAGAAACATCAACATGAAAGGGACACATCGAGTGGTTGCCACCCACATGACCCAACCAGGGCCGGGGACAAACTGCAACCGAGGTACGTGCCCTTAGCGGGAACCGAACCGGGGCCTCTCTGGACCACAGGCTGATGCTCCAACCGCTGAGCTAAACTGGCCAGGGCTTGATTTCATTTTTAATGTAAAGGCTATCCTTTTTTTTAATCTTCCTTGCCTATACACAATAGATTTAATGCATGCATTCGGAGGTGGCATAGAAAATGATTCCCTTGTATTTCCAATAGACTTCTGGGAAGTATTTTAGAATATTAAGAAGCACCCATAAAATTTTGTTTGCCAAGCCCAGCTGATGTGGCTCAGTGGTTGAGCATTGGCCCAGGCACCAAAGGTCGCTGGTTTGATTCCCGGTCAGGGCACATGCCCGGGTTGTGGGCCTGATCCCCAGTTGGGGGCATGGAGGAGGCAGACAGTCGATGTTCTCTCTCATCGATGTTTTATCTCTCTCTCCCTTCCTCTCTCTCTTAAAATAAATAAAGAAAAATATGTATTAAAAAAATAATGTTTTATGCAAAGAAGGGAATGATAGAGGTGTTGCTTCCCCGCCCCTCTCTGCAGGCTGCTTTGACTCTTCCTCGAAGGCCCTTCCTTCACTGTTCCACTGTGATACCCGCCGTGGTTCTCACCCTGAAGCTTATCATGCACCTCTTCAAGCTCAAAGACTCGTGGTGCTTTCTTCCCTGGATGGTCTTTATATCCTGGACCTCACACCACATCCGAGACGGCATCCGGCACGGCTTGTGGCTGTGCCCGTTTGGGAAAACTCCTCCCTTGCCGTTCTGGCTGTACGTAGTGAGCACAGCGTCTTTACCTCACATCTGCTCGTTGGTCATGTACTTAACCGGGACCAGACAAGTGATGTCCTCCAAACACGGGATTCGGATCGATGTCTGAGCCAACCATGTGGCAGCCCCAGCGGAGCAAGCGGTTCGGACAGTGATAATGAAGGGTAGCCAGCATTAAAGTGGATTTTAGAAAACATAGTAGGTACTTAATGTTAATTATTATAGTTCCCGAATCCTCTTGCTCAGGAGGTGTGAACAAAGTTTTAAAAATGACATATTTGTTGTAATTCTGCCTCTCTCTCTATAACCCTCTAGTGCAGTATTACAGTTCCATTTATTTCGTGATATATTTCTATTGTTTCTTCTGTTTATCTGGCTTTGCTAATAGCTCAATGAGATTGACATCCACTTAAGTTTTCGGGACGAACAGTTTTAAGGCAGTCCATTTTCTGATGAAAAACAGTTCAAATGTTAGGGTGACTCATTTGTGGAATGTTAGCAGTCTCTGGATCCTCATTTTCCTGTGATATTGAAACAGAGAAATGACCACAGCAGCGGATGCACAGTGAATGCTAGCGCTTCCTCTGTCGCCTGTGTGGCCCGGACGGAAGTGGAATCTGCCGGCGCCCGTGCACTTGTGAGAAATGATCACAGTAGTCATTGGATTTAGGTTGTGGTTTCAGAAATCACTGCAGGGAATTACTGCAATATGTTGACTATAGCAGCATCTTCCTGAAGTATTACTGTTTCAGTATCTGTGTCCAAAAATCTTGTGTTAGGATTTTAACTGTTTTGAAAAACATAACTAAATTTAATAGAATATTTGTTAAAAATTATTATGAGCCCTGGCCAGTTTGGCTCAGCGGTTAGAGTGTCGGCCCATGGACCAGAGAGACCCGGGTTTGGTTCCCGCTAAGGGCACGTACCTCGGTTGCAGTTTGTCCCCGGCCCTGGTTGGGTTGTGTGGGTGGCTAGCAGTTAATGTGTCTCTCTCACATCAATGTTTCTCTCTTTCTCTCTTCCTTCCTCTCTCCCTCCCGCTCTATCTGAAGATAAATGCAAAAATGTCCTTGGGTGAGGAGTTTTAAAAAAAAATTGTTATGAACAAAAATATTGATATTTGGCTCATAACCATAGAATTTGAATTCATGCACACACAAAAAAGACTTACTAGTGCCCTGGCCGGTTTGGCTCAGAGGTTGGGGTGTCGGCCCTCGGACGGAAGAGTCACGGGTTTGATTCTGGTCGAGGGCACGTACCTCGGTTGCAGTTTGGACCCTGGTCGGAGTCGTGCCGGAGGCAACCAGTCAATGTGTCTCTCTCACATCAATATTTCTCTCCCCACCCCCCCAACTCTATCTGAAGATAAATGGAAAAATATCCTCTGGTGAGGATTTTTTTAAAAAAGGACTTATTAATAATATCGTTTCCAATGTGAGCTCCCGAATGTGCCAGTAAACTTGTTTTGTTGCTGTCAATTTGTTTACATACTCTTCTAAAATAGTATACCAGTTAGATCATTTTTTAAAAATCTGCCTGATACCAAGAGACAAAACAGTTTTTTTCAAAATAACATAGTTTCAGATTTTATTTTCCCTCTCAGGTTGATCTTCTGTTAGAAACGATTAGCCTTGATCAGAGAAGGGAATTTAGTCGCTGTGAAGTTCACATGTGCCGGTGAATATGACTTTGATATGAAAGTCAATGCCCCAATGGCACCTGCTTTTGTTCGTAGCCTGTGCTCCATCATTTCGTATTTCTTACATGTGTGATCTTTTTTTATTTATTTCTTCATCCTCACCCGAGGACATTTTTACCTTCATCTTCAGATAGAGCAGGAGGGAGAGAGAGAGAGAAACATCAATGTGAGAGTGAGACATCGAGTGGCTGCATGACCCCACCGGGGCCGGGGACAAACTGCAGCTGAGGTGCATGCCCCTGAGCGGGAACCAAACCCAGGTCTCTCTGTCCACGGGCCGATGCTCCAACCGCTGACCAAACCGGCCAGAGCACACGTGTGATTTTTAATGCTGGTGATTGTGTGCCTTACTCTGAGAAATGATGCAGCGATGCCTTACTTACCCAAAGCAGGTTCTTCCTCAGTTAAACAGGTCTGTAAATGATTATCAAGGGGCAAGCTCTGTAGTGTCATTTTTCTTTTTGTTGTTAACCACTTGGCTGCAATTTTTATATTTTATAAACAACCTGTTAGATCTTATAGTCAGTTATTATCTTTTGAGAGCAATTATTGTGGCAATTTGGTTGGCTTAATAGTAACTATTACATTGTGGGCGGTAAATTTGATTAAGGTAGAGGTTTTTTAAAAGCATATGATTTCAGAAATCCTTGGACATAAAGCATATATATGGTATGACTTTTTCTGGCTAAATTATAAAACTCTACTTTTTTCTTTCTCTATATTAAGCAAAGAAATATCTTTAACCCATAGGGCCTTATTTAAGAATGTCACATTGGCCCGGCCAGTGTGGCTCAGTGGTTGAGCGTCGACCCTTACACCAAGAGGTCGCCGGTTGGATTCCCGGTCAGGGCACATGCCCAGGTTTTGGGCTTAGTGCCCATTGGGCCAGGGGCAGCTGACTGATGTTTCTTATTGATGTTTCTATCCCTCTCCCTCTCCCTTTCTCTCCAAATAAAAACATTTAAAATCATAATCATAATAAATTTCCATTGATCCTTACCTCCTTTCTGTAACTTAGACCTTTCTCCTAGGCAGCCCCCCACGCGCACCCAATCAGACCCATACTTCCTGGCATCCTTTTCTTTTGGCTGGTGGAACGGTTTCTTAGTTTTATCCATTTTCCCATCTGAAGGGGAGAATAGGGGCTGTTCTGGCCCTCGCTAACCCCTAAACAACCTGTCACTGCTAAACTGCTTATCCTCCACAGGTCTCTTCCCCATCTGGTATCTCATTGTCGCCCCCTCTGGTGGTTCCTTGCTGGTGCCTCACTTGGCAGGCAGTGCGCCTTGCTTTGCTCTGTGCTCTCTCCCAGGGGTCCACACCTGTGCGGGGCAGAGGTGGGGGGGGCACCCAGCAAAGTGACGTCTGTCGTGCTCGGCGGTCCCTGACGCACTGGCTGCAGTATAACATACACGTTGCCTATCCATGAGTAACAGCTGTCAAAGGTGCAGCTGGGCCTCCACTTGCTTTGCCATGGTTTCTCCTCTGGACTCAAATCAGGAAGCTGTAGCCTGTTGAGGGATTTCTTTTCTTAATTACTAATTCTCTCATCTCATATAACTCACCAAACAATAACTGTACTGTCATGGGACCTCAGAGAAATCGAGTTGTTATTTTGCCTTGATGCAGGACAGCTTATAAATCATTCCATGTTGATGAGGATTCTTAGTCTGAAGCTCTCCTGAGAAAAGCTGTTTGCCACTTCTCTTCACAACGCTTACTGTATTTGTAATGTCTGTTTCATGGGACACAAGACATGCTGACTTTTTCATTCTAATGAACTCCAGATGTGGTAAGGGGCTGGTTTTGATGTAGTTTTGTTATGAATTTACAGATATTATTTTGTTATTAGAGTACTTTTTAACCTCTCAGTTACATGCTTATTTCTAATTATTGCAAGTTATTATAAGTATTGTAATTGCTGTGTTATAGAAATAAACCTTTATTTAAATGTAAACCCCAAAGCGTTGAATCTAATTAAAATGTAAGAGAAAACAGCAATGAGTTGTTTTGATTCTCAGTTTGGCAAATTTTTAGAAAGGTTGGTAACACCCATTGTGGCAGAAGTGTAAGCAAATGGGCATTGTTGGTGTGGAGCAACAAAGTCACACTTTCTGGCCAGAGGGAATTTGGTAAATATGTGTTTAAAGTATAAGCCATTTTACCCAGAAATTCCAATTCCAGGAATTTATTATAAAGATCTAAACAGGTATGTATACAAAGGACAAAGACTTTTGTTGGTTGCTTAAAATTAAAAAGAAAAGCACCTAGAAACCACCTAGAAGTAACTAACTAGAGTTAGCACCCTGAATTCTTATACAAGCGGTGGATGGCTCGTGGGTGAAGTAGACCACATAATGATACGCAAAACGATCTGTGTGAAGAGTAAGATCCCGTAGGGGGACAGCGTGGTTGCATTTTTGTAACATTGGCATTTTCACTTTCCTGTCACGTGTGCGGTTCTCAGGCTGCGGAGCAGGTCTGGTGTGGGCTGAGCACCGACTCGCGGTTCCTCGGGCCTGTGCCGTGGACTCGCGCAGTGTCCCAGTGGGACGGCACGCACTTGACGTGTTTCTCTGTTTCCACATTGGACCCATGTGACTGTTACCTAACTAGATTTCGCCAGACTCCACGAATATTCCCAGGCCCATGTTAGATCCAGCCCCAAGCCAGGAGGCTCACAGCCTCCCACTGATCTGAGGAAGAAACGTCTGTGAATGAATCATCATTCTCCACAGTCACTTTGCCTTGTGCGTCAATCCAAGGCATTGCCACATGTGTCCCCTTGGTATTTGTTTACTTTCCAGGGACAATGATGATAACGAAAGGGTGTCTGAAGCATTTTACCTTTTTGATCGACCTCACACGGAATTGTTGGGTTTACATACCCAGTGACACTAATTAATGTTGCTTCAAGGTCTGGGCAGCTGTTCAGTCCCATCAGCCCCATAATGACCTGAACACATACTCTGAGCTTCCTCGGACATCTATATGTTTTCCAAAAAGCACCCATCTGAATTCACATACCCTTACCCATTCAATCTTGATTTGACTTAACTAGAGCCCCCCAGGTACCCAGGTCAGTAGGACCATGCAATCACATGAAGTGGAAGGCAGGGAGAAAAATGTCCCTACATATTCGGGTGACAATAGAGTGTAAGTGCAGGATAGTGTTTCATGACAGATGGCGGGCTGCGTAGCGCATGTAAATGTCAGCGGTCACACCTCACTGCCCTCAGCGGCCACACGCAATCGCAGGGAGTGGCAGGAGCTTTCTCAAGTGTTCGCGTGACCGAGCTGTAAGGACCGCAGTGCCAGCCGTGAGGCCGGTCTTCCTGGAGAGCCAGTGGGCAAATACCGCACTTCCCTCTTCCTTGACCTGCAGGGCTGTTTGCCCGGAGTCTAACAATAGGCCCAGTGTTCGGCCTGGTGTCTTGGCTGGCAGAGAGGCTGACGTTTCTCTAGATTCTGAACGGTTGGCACAGGGCTGCTCTTGGTCAATCCAGCCTCGCTAAAAGCGGCATGTTCCCGAGGCCAATCCTGGAAAGGGGTCTGCCATTCCTAGGCTAACGGGAGGCCCAGAGCAAACTGCTCGACGAGCCTCACGCTCGCGTCCCAACGTGTCAATCCAAGTGAAATGCGGCGAAGAGTGAGAAGAAAGTATGGAAGAGAGATGGGAAACTGTTTGGCCCACTTAGAAGTTACCGTGTGTGTGTGTGTGTCCTGTATTACCCTTCTTTTACCGCTGTAACATGATTATAATCTCAGTGGTTCAAAACAAGGCACATGGCTCTGGCCGGTTTGGCTCAGAGTTTAGAGCATCAGCCTGCGGTCCACAGAGACCCGGGTTCGGTTCCTGCTAAGGGCACGTACCTCCGTTGCTGTTTGTCCCAGCCCTGGTTGGTCGTGTGGGTGGCAACCACTCAATTTGTCCCTTTCACGTCGATGTTTCTCTCTCTCCCTCTCTCTCCCTCCCACTCTACAAAAAATGGAAAAATGTCCTCGGGTGAGGATAAAAAAAACAAACAAGGCACATGGGTTATCTTACAGTCTTTATGTTTGAATCCAGCACAGGGCTCACTGGGTTAGAACCAGGCGTCAGCAGGCTGGTCCCTCTGGAGCCTCCAGGGGAGAAGCTGTCTCCTTTGCCTCCTTCAGCCTTCAGGTGCTGCCTGCATTCCTGGGCTGTGGTCCCCTCGTCCCATCTTCCAAGCTGGCGATGATCGGGCCGGTTTCCTTGGCGCACACTGTATCTCCCTGATCCTCCTCCTACAGGCATGTCTGCCTCTGACCACCGCCAGGGACGGTCTCTGACTTCAGGACCATGTGATTATTTGGGGCTCACCTCGACAATCCAGAATAGGCTCCTAATCCCAAGGTTCTTAACCGCATCTACACATATTCACAGTTTCTGGAGATTAGGATGTAGAGAGATCTTTGAGGCCCTTATGCTGTTCACCCTTATTGATTTTTCTTTATTGACTTTTAGAGAGAGGGAGGGAGAGGGAGAGAGAGAGAAACATCCATGAGAACATCGATTGGCCGCCTCCTGCATGCCCCCCTCTGAGGATTTGGCCCACAACCTAATCGGGAATCGAACCGACGACCTCCTGGTGCATGGGTCGATGCTCAACCACCGAGCCACACCAGCCGGGCTGTTTACCCTTATTTTAAATTTTTGTTCTGTCGGTGGTAGTTTTATTTGTTTCATGTGAGCTGGCAAGCCACCCACACACCACATACCAAGGTTGCTCTCCCGAGTCTTGTGCCCTGGACCAGAATCTAGCCCGGGTGTCTTTGGACAAGTCACACATCCTTTCTGAGCCCAGGAGGGATAGGCCAGATGCTCCCCAAGCCTCCCTTCCCACTCTAACTTTCTATAATCCCCAGCTCCTTGTCCCAGTGATGGCGGGTCCCTCAAACTCTGGGGACATGACCTCCAACTCGCCTTGCCGGAGTTAAGTCGAATCTTGGGATAATAATGCCCTTGCCCTCTTACTGTTAACGCTGAGGGTCGTCTTTCACTTGTTTTCTCCATGTAGAATAACTGAGTCTTTATACAAACCCTTTCTCTATTCATGATTACAAAAATAAAGATGTCAGTTCACAGAAGTCTTAGCCAGGTAAACAGGAATAGTTCCTTTGGGTGAACATGAATACAGCACTCGTCCTTGGGGGACGTTGGCTCGGTCAGCCACCGAGCAGATGTTCAATGTGCTGCTCCTGGGTGGCAGGCCTCGTGCTGAAGACGAATGTTCTGATGGTGGAAAAGCGTCCCTTCCAGGACCTCCTCGGCTCGTGGGGACCCACAGGAGACACGGCACTTCAGGGCGCTGTGGCAGGCGCTGCCAGAGAGCACGCACCCTGGGGAAGAAAGGGCAGGTCCCCCCAAACTAGGAGCGAAGCAGGAGGGTTCCAGTGAAGGGGAGTGGGGTCGCGGGAGGAGGGTGGGGCGCACAGGGCACAGCATTCACAGCGCCCTGAGTGGGATGGGGTCATTCCGCGATGCTGGAACAGGCTGTTTGGGGTGCGTCCCTGGTGAGGGTGCAGCCACAGCTGACATGCTGGGGGCCCGGAGGGGGCCTGGAGAAGCTTGTCCACCTGTGCAGGAGCTGGGCCTTTAGCTGAGGGCACTGCGGAGGCAGTGAGAGGGTTAAGCCTAGGCTGGCACCACAGGTTAGGCCCGGGAAGCTGCCACTGTGCTGGGTCCTGGACCCCTGCATTTACTGGGTGCTGTGTAGCCACGGCCTTCCCGTCGGAGCTTGGAAGGCAGACGGAGAGCAGCGGAGGTGCTCAGGGCCAGTTACTTCGAATGTGGGCCACTTCCTACTGGAAAGGAGACCTAAGCAACACCGCCTCTGGCTTCATCAAACCGTGGCCCCTCTGCCCTCGACTGTGGCCTTTGGGGTCCAGTGCGGCGTCTGCGTGGAGAGCTGGACCACGTCCGGTGGCCAGAGCAGGAGTGCTGCGCTCGCCTGTGCTCATGCCGGGCCCTCTGTCCGAAGCCTTTCCTTCTCCACGCACTGTCTGGGCCGCTGAACTCTCCTTCGAGACCCGCCTCGCGTCTGCCGTCTGGGCCGGGCTCCGGGAGGGCCAGGGCCGCCCAGCCAGGGCTCCGCATCCTGCCTTGTGCGTCTCACGGTGTGATGTGGGGCAGGGCGACATGCTTCTCCTGTCCGGGCCTCATTCGGCGGCTTCGGCCCCCCGCGTCCCAGGGTGGGCGTCTCACGTGGAAGGCTCAGTGCCGTCTTAGCGTCGTAGCCCCACGATATCAGTGAACAGGAAGCCAGAGAGGTGGGCGAAGGGCTGGGACTTTCTCTTCTGGCCAGGGATTCAAGTGGAAATTAGTCCTGGGGTGCCGAAGCCACCGCAGCCCTTCCCCGAGTCTCTGCCTCGTGCTGAGCGGCGTAACCGGGCAGAGGAGGGGAGGAGGGGTGCGAACTGCAGAGCAGCAGAGGCTCAGGGAGGACAGACTGATTCCCTGGGGGGTGCCGGGGGCTGGGGTGAGGGAGGCTGCCGGGGAGAGGGACCGGTGCCCACCCGAGGGTGCCCTCTGCAGGCCCAGGGAGAAGGCCCTGCCCCAGGGAAAGAATGGCTCCCCCTGTGTGCACTTTGGAAAGAAAACATAAGGAAGTATCAGGAAAATCGATGGAAAAGTTTCTGCAGAGTTTCCCAGACTTTCTTGGCTGACGGTTGGTGTTCTTAATGTCCCGGTAATTTTGCACGGTACTACGAGGCCCCAAGAAATACCAGACGATCCCTGTTATTAGTTACATCCATAGGACTTAATAGTAGTAGCTGTGTGGCGTTCAACAGATGTCCTTGTGTCTCCCCCAATGATTTAGAAGAT